CCCGGATTGTCTCGACCGTAACGGAGGAACTGGCATGTTCTTAATGAGTAGAACTCCGTTTCACCTGCAGTCGTCAGTCGTCAGCGGCGCACCGACTCCCTTGCTGTTGCATGTTCCTAAGAACAGTTTTTCTCCAGTATCAAACGCGGCGTTCATAGGCGGTGTCTCCTTGTCTCTGCCACCGATGACGCCGTACTCGATCTTCTTTGCTTGCATCAATAGATCTTCGATGGATGCGAGCATGCGTGCGTTTTGAATAAAGATCGTCCTCATTGTCCGTCTCGTTTTCGGCAGCCCAAATCGCCCTTGAAACCTTGTCCTCAATGGCGCTGCCTTATAGTGGCTCTTCCAAGATTAAGGGAAGATCCACTATATCACCGTGTTTAACGATTAAATCACTCGCAGGAGCAGCTTGTTGGGCTCAAATCTCCCGCGAGGGACGGTCTAAGCTCATTTGTTAGAGGCGATTCCGAGCCTCTCCCACACCTACTCGGAAAATAGGTATGCAAGCTTTTGAGACAGGGAGTCCGTCCCCGGCTCCACTTGCTTATCAGAGTAAGCGCGCGGTCGCTTCTTGTCGGCCACTAGCCCCCTATCCGCCACGTGGGGACGCGCCCCGCTTCGCGACTATCCGGCTGGGATCCCCCCGAGAGGAAGATCCGTGACATTTTTGTTATCAACTAAATAACATCCACAGTCATTGCCGAAGAGGCTTTAATTTATTCTTAAGAGTGGCGATGAGCGATGAAGGAAGGTGAGTATGATTGTGATTATCTGAATGGGGTCACGTTGGTGTACTCTATGTATTAGGTTGATGCAAAAGAAGTGGCCGATTTTCCAAGCCTTTTTCCAGAACAACTTTTTTCCATCAATACTTCTTTACAATGGATGTAGTATATTGCCGCAAAGCTGTTTTCATGCTCTATCTAACGGTGCTTGAAACGGGCTCTCATCCTCATCTCTTATAAAGTTACTGAGCTTCAAATAACCCATCCAAATTCAGAATTTTATTGCATTCACTTTTCCGGCCAGAAAAGCGCGTATCAATGGGATTTCTTCGAAAATTTAACTATTGTATGTAATAGAATTTTCTACATTATGCATACTTAACTGCATTCTTTGAAGTTATCCAGACTAAGATATCGGCGCCTAAACATGGGTAGCTGTTGCGGTCATTTTATGACCCATAATTTTCTTCTGAGGAAGTCAGTCGCCGAAGATTTGCTCAATTCTGTAAGCGTAGAGCTAGGACATTTATTAGCAGTTTTTGCAAAAACATCCAGCTGTTCAGTATGTAGAAAATCAGAAAATTCTATATTCCGGACTTTGAGGCACACTGAAAAAAATGTTGAAAAAACTGAGAAATTTTAAATTTCAATTTTTTTGTTTCTCGCAAACTTCTTTGTCCGAATTCATTTTATTGCATTTTGTACTACTGGCTTGCGGCTACAAGATAGGCCACTTATCATTCATACTAAGAAACTTTGAAGGAAGTTATGAATTGTCAAAAACAAGGTTCCCACAGAAGAACCTTTTTTTGTCTTTTAGTCCGTATTTCTCTTCCCGTTTATAAATTGACTGTAAATAAGTATGCGCTGTATTGCGAAAGGAGGTTTTCTAAACGTCTTTGCCGCATTAAAAAATGTAGATCTTCTAGAAAGTTATAGCACATCAAAGTGAGAATTCACAAATGGGCCATTCCTTTTGCATCAACCTAATAAATCTTGAATCGGCTCCACAGAGCTATTACTCAAAGGAATCTTCATAAATGCTTCACATGTCCAATTTTATGGGGTTACATGATCACAATTTATTCAAGCAAGTGTGAAATCACATAACTATTTAGAGGCAACGTCAAAATTCCGCCTCCCATGTTTCCGTCATTCTGGGGCCTCTCCGCGGCCCTTATTACAGATCAGAATTCAGAATGTCCTGAACCCACAAAAAACCGATTTGGGATCCTGTCTTGAAGGCGCGGACGAGTTTCGGATCGCTCGTCCCCGTCGGCATGCCAGCGGGGAGGCTGCAATTGCATGGGAGCACTTGCAGCAGTTGCAGCTTCTGCTCATTACCATCTCAATACCTAAGGGGAGGTCCGCATCTAGGCAGAGTCTGATAGGATCTGGGCTGGGCCTAGCATTTCGGCTGTTCCAGGGCCTCTTATCTCCATTCAGAGACAACATTAAAAGACCGGACTAACGCAGATGCCCTCTTCCTGGGGTCGCAGATGCACCTTACTTCATACTTAGTAGTACCTCTGCAAAGGCAGGGTCTTCGCAGTTAGAGTTTTGAGAAGAGTGCTTTTATAAAAAGCCACTTGAATTCTTGTGATTCATGGAAAACAATCATTTTTTTCATCATTATTTTCAACAAACAAGCAATCATTCAAAGATCATTTTCGATTCGAAAACCTATTCCTGCAAAAGGCGTTCAGTAAGTCTTCCCCCCCCCCACTATTTGGAAGCTACATCTCACAATGTTCACTGGTGGGGGAAGGAAGGGGGGAGGGGGAAGGGTGGGGATTTTACTTATGAACAAGGCTATGACAAGAAAAAAATCACAGTTAGCTGGTCATGTTACATTACGGTCCGCCGATATTCGAGTATTTGTAGCGCTGGCAGCAAATGACCGATAAGAATTATCAATTGCTAACTAAACAAGACCGTGTGTCTGTGCACTTGCTCACCTTAGTTAGGTCAAATCGAGTACTTTTGAAACTACCTTCATTATTTACTGCAAAGCCCTATCGGAAGAGAATCATCAAAGTGACCCTTACTATATGCCTACTTTACGATTCCATTGAAAAATTTTCGACTCCCTTCGAGCGATATTGTTTTGACATTTTCTCCCAGATTCACGTTTCCGTAAATGACGTATCACAGTCAGGTGTAACATTACTAGAACTACGCGTTTATCTTCAATGTTGCTCTTTCGTTAGCGATAAGAAGAGATATAAAACAGCTTGATATCATTTTTTTTTCTTTTCTGACGCTGCTTGACTCCAATTCTAAACAGCCTGTCAGATTTTTGCACGTGGTCATCAACCAATAATTCTAGTATGAATATCTGGAATTGGTCTTGCATTTCGCCCGTTCATATTCTGCTAATATTGCTAACGCCGTGCAAATCATGTTCTCGAACTCATGTGCTTTTTTGAAAATGATGAGTTTTCGGCTTCAATGAAAAACAGACAAAAGTCAAACACATACTGGTGTACTACTCGCCTTCAGAGGAAAAGTCTAACAAGGGAAGTTCACTTATTCGAAGTGGCGATTCGGAAGGAGATCTATACCAGTGGATAGAGCTTAAAAAGCTGATCTCAGATATACCTTCTATATCTGCGATGCGTTCTTCTAAAAAAAGTTATAAGCTTTTCTAAAGCCAAATTTTCGTGCATTTTGAGTCGCAAAACCATGATAATCATAAAGTGCGCAAGCTTAGGCAAACCACCTAACAAGCATTTTAGGTCTATTTCGAGTTTATTCGAACGCTTTCAAGTGTTTTTCGACCATGCTGTTCATCCACAGGTCGCCATTTTATTCCTATATCACACTTCCATTATGTATACAAAAAAGCCCCATAGCTTCCATCTAGAAAAACGCGCCGCGTCGGAAACTTTTTGGAAACTGCCAATAGATATAAAGTAAAACGATGTTTCCGAATATATCTTCAATATCTGCGACGCCTTCTTCTAGATGGAGGTTATGGGCTTTTTTGTATATATAATGGAAGTGTGATATAGAAAAGAGATGACGGTCTGTGAATAAACATTATGCTCGGAAAACACTCGAAAACATTCGGATGAACTCGAATTAGATCTACAATGCTTACTAGGTGGTTTGCTTGAGTTTGCACATTTTTGTTTAGCGATTATCATGATTTTGCGACTCAAAACGCACGAAAATTTTGCTTTAGAAAAGCTCATAACTTTTTTCAGAACAATGCATCGCAGATATAGAAGGTATATCTGAGATCAGCTTTTTAAGCTCTATCCACTGGTATAGATCTCCTTCCGAATTGCCACTTCGACTAAGTGAACTTCCCTTGTAAGACACGGAAGAAGTGGCGTGACGTACAGATGGAGGGAGGCGGATTTTTGAAAGTCACTTACATGTGTTTCAAAAATGTGCAAGTGATTTAATTATATTTGTAAATAATTGAAATATCTTTGTAAAAAATTTTGGAGATCCAAATTAGCCTTTCAAAAATTCTTCAAGGACGTGGTACCGCCATACCCTTTCTTCTGGAATTTCGGGAACAGGGGCCGTGAAAATTTCTGAAAGCATCCCAAATAAATTCTCGGAGTGCGTGGACGTGCACCTCTAACCAAAGAAAATTTTTGTCGTGCCCCTCCTGCGTCCCCCCCCCCCCCTCCCTCCCATCCTCCTCCTCTCTCCTGAGTATGTCACTGGTAACCCCATATTCACAATCAGCTATAGTTCTTATCAAGGGAAAAGAGGAGAGAGGAGGAAAGGGGAGGTGGAGCACATTGGTCACGTTCAGTTTTCTTAAAATGCAGATAAAAAATACGTCTTGTAGTAAATAATGATTTCTAACCTTTTCCTCTCTCTAACCCATTCCCGGATTGCTGAAATGTACTGTACAAACTTCTTATTGTTAGCCCTATTCATTAGTTATTGGTCTTACACGCATCTCCAATGGTCGGTTCGTTTAGCTAACAAGGTAAAATTGAGTAAAAAGGAGATGTTTTGAAGTCGGACGCGACAGGATTGAATCTTCAATTATAGTGTTGTTGTAATGAACAAGAGATGCAAAAAATTCACATATTTGCTAAACCTAATATTGGACTGGTTTATCAAGTACATACTACGGTTTCAATCTCTGACTTGCTCAAATAAAGACGCTTTTTCAATCCCTTCGATTGTCACTCATTGAGGCTGGAACAGAAAAAAAAATAGAAAAAAGCGAATTATGTGTTGCACTGTTATCACGAGTACGAATTCTTTCGCTATTTGCAATCGTAATCATTAAGTGCTTGCCAATTTTCATTTTCAGCTCACTTAATTTTGCGCTGATTTTACGACGCACTACATTTGGATGTTCACGTCACTCGAACCAGCACTGCTATTTTCCTTGAGCGTGATAACCATAGCGGACGACTCTTGCTGGTCAGAATGCTTCCAGGTGAGATTTGAAAATCTATTATCAGGTTGGCAACTAAATTTTGCAACTTTTTTCCTTTGTCTCTTACAAAGGAAGGATACTTGGTCAAAGTGGCGTTTTCAAATGAATTATTATAGAGCATGAAACGCCTTCAAACCTGCCTTCGATATAGGCACAGCGCTTCTGGGAGAGGGATTATAAGGGTATTTTGAAGCAAAAATCTAAACTTGTGGCCACATTAATTATTCAAAACTATTCAAGTCTGTGAACCCAAATGGAGCCATGATTACTGCCAGGACGCTTTATGCAACGGACATCTTCAGTCCAAAAATATAATCATTAATCCTTTCAAGCCCCGAAAGACAGCAACACCTGTTTTTATCTTAGCCAAACCTTTAAACTTATATTTCAAATAATTTCCATATCGCCTCTCCCGGTAGGTTTAGAATCAGCATTCCATGCTCTATGGTATACATTTCATATAGAAACACCACTTCGATCTATCATTCCCATGTAAGAAAAGGCGCAATCATTCCTGAGTCCTGTGCTTATGTTGTGAGCTGAAACGTTTACATACTAATTGAATTATGATGATGGGATAGAAAAAACCGCTCGGTTTCCTAAAACTCGTGAAAATCTGTAACAAGCTGTACAATCATCCCCCTTACCGTATATTACCATGACTCTATGAATGATTCCAAAACTTGGCAGAACTATGGCTTTGGCACATTGTCAAAGGCCGAAAAGTGCAAAATATCTTATTGTTAGGAGCGAATGCCTCAATGTGGCGTATGGTTGATGAAAGAGACGAATCCAGATGTAGCTGGCACTTACGAGGTAATATTTAACAAATGTAGAATTTATCGCCTAACAAGTTGCCTGAAGGATTTGTATAGCTCAATCGTGGAATGGTCAACATGTCATGCGAATTCTCGTCGTTACCCGAGCCGGCATCGGTCACTTGGCTCCATAAAGCACCGAACTCGATCAGTTGGGTAGACTTTGCCTGCTCTACGAAAGATGAGACGAAACAATGCAGGTGAGAAAGAGATAAATAGAAGTAAGTAATTTCTGTATAAGGGCTGGAACTTTAGGCATCAGGGGCCCATGCCAGCGCACCTGCTACCACCGTGCTCGAACGTCGATCGATCAGTACGTGGAGCGCATACGTAGATTCCGGCACGGCGGTAGCACGGCGCTGGCACATGGCAGAGCGACTACTATAGACGCTGTTTCACATGCAGGTTTTACAATTCACTGAATTATTATTGATGAGCTCAGATTATAAAACCAACATAATTTATTTAACAGCGAGCGCCATTTCCAGTGGCTGCTGCTGATTCCACAGAATCAACTCTAGGCCCTTTTCTTGGAATATTTTCATAATTAGTTCGTAGGCTGCCAGGATTACAAATGCGTTCGTGGCATGTTTGTCATAATTATCATTTTGATTTGCATGAATTGGTGTTAGTTTTTGCGGTCTGTCGTAATTCCAGATTAATTATAATCTTCTTCAGAGAAGCCGAACATAGAGTGACGTCTCGCTGCTTACTACGCACGAATTCTCTAATGATGACGGGCACGTACAGATGTCAAGCAACGACGTCCGAACAAAAGAGTAAAGCGATTAGGTGAATCATAGCAGGACGTAAGAGCTAAATGCTTCAGCGAATATTGCTACCAAAACCATTTTAGCTCCGAATTTAATGTCAATGTGGTTGGTATCGAAAAAGTCGCCGTGCTTCATTACCACTTACCGTTTGGTAAACTCGGTTACATAGAGGCTGAGGTAAGACAAACACCATCAGGGTAGCAGCAAATCTTTTTTAGCAAAAAATTTCAGAATAACCTGAGCTACTTTCGCTCTAGAGATAAAATCACTTTTCAGGTTTGCGCAAATCCAAAGCCAGAGATATTCTGGTTGACTTCAGATGCCATTGTTCGGCCGCATACTGGAGGTAACACATTGGTGTCTGCTACTCACTTGCATCCTAAGAAGGTTTGTTGACCTTGCGCTCGCCTTCCTCAATAATAACATATGGCCACACAACGATAACTCCCCTTGTTCACAAAAAAAAACTTTGCGAGAAATCATAGCAGAGCACAGGTTTACCCAATGACGGCTGAGCTCAGTAGGTTGCGGAGATCACATATTTTTTGACACAACGGGATTGGCGGCTGGAAGGCGATCGCTGCGCCCGCGAAGCAGTCTGCGTCTCTCTGGCGAACGTGTTCTCTGACATCCTCTAGCCTTGATTGGGCCTCGAAGCCCCGCCTTCCAGTTGCCAATCCTGTTGACTCAAAGGGTACTTATACTACTTTCACCGGAACTTCCGCAGAACAAGAAGTATTTGCAGCGGTTTCACAGAATTTTGTTTAGTATCAGTCTAAACGTCAAAAAAAGGAAACTTTAGGAAAAATTTGAAGTCAAATATTGAAAACCGAAAGTTCCGCAACTCTTCCCACCAAGACTGCGGGAAGTTCGTTCCCCTTATGTACAGCCGAACTTCTATTCAGTTGTCTTAGTATCAAGCAGCGAATTTTTGATATTGAGTTTTCAATCAACGTAATATGCAAAACAACACCATTTTGTTTGTTGTAGACACGTCGCTTTCATGACGGACCAGCCACGATTGTACCATACTGCTACACATCACGATTGCTGATTCGAAATGTAACGCGTGATGAGACATTTCAACTCCTCGTCAAAGGAGAAGCTGAGTCGAAAACAGTCGATCTAAGAGTTCTAGTCTCCGAACTTCCATCAATATCTACCATTTGCCTTCATCTCACTTCCATCATTATGACTTTCGTAATTTCTGCATTCTTGTAGGTCAGCACTACTCTGTTACTAATTTGTTGTCTTACTTGGATTGTCTGGTCTAAGATTTGAGTCTTCAGGAGCTGCGTACGCTCCAACAAAACCGCATGCAAGTGCTCAGGCACACTTCACTTACTGTTTCCCCATAAGATCTCTTAGTAGACTAGACGCATGAGCTGAATATAGAAAAGTGAAGAATAAATATTTTCCCTTAGTTGACGTCTATTCCACTATTAAATCTAGTCAGCATCGCAGGTGTTAGCATATAGTAAGGAGGAATAAAAGAATGGAAATATGTGACGGTGCCCTACATCGGGGTAGCAACACTTGGTGCCACAAACCAAATTTTTCACAAGTGTAGGATACGAAACCGTATTCATTTGATGAATATGGTACCAGTGGAATGCGTAAGACGCCAAATCAATCACAAAAAACCTTTTCAAAAGGAGTCACTTTTCTGTTATTCAGCCCCTCAAAAATAATATGAAAACGGTGACCAGGCTATTGCATGACACCCCAATTTTCCCGAAGTTTACGCAGATTTGATGCAAAACTTTTGTAAGATGTAGATAAACTCTAATTTGATCTGATCAAAAATGTCATATGCAGTTACTCCATCAAGTGTTCTGCGCTATCTAGTCAACACTTGATGAACGGATTTGATCAGATGTTTCTGTACTGTCTAGAAGTCCGACAGTATATATCTCCAAAAAAGTCATGTTAAAATTCACGTGTCACCACAAAATTCGGCAACGCTATGGAGGTTGTTTTCTGTTGGGTTAAGTCTGGTATAACGCTGTACTGAGACATGCTACAAACAAGTGTTGAAAGCGAGACAAAGTAGTAAAGGAAATCAGGCAACAATCTTCATATAAAATAACAAAAACATACAGTAACAATGCGATTACTTCGCCTTCTTTGCTCTGATCTTACGAAGGTAGAACTCCAATTCTTTACCTTCAAGGATGTAACCATCGGCACGACCAACTTGTCCAGGGCTTGAGGAGATACGGGCTACAAACATAACAATATGTTGGAGATACAAACTATGAGGGAACTAATGATGACAAGTATATGACAAACCCAGAAGTCGTCCAGTGGCGAACTGCTCCAAAAGAAGTGGATCTACAGCAGCAGTCTTCTGACGCTCAGTGTACTTGGCTTGACAGCTTGCTGATCTTGAAATCGATTGATCTTACAACACAAAGAACAAGCAATCCTCCAACAACTCTAACAGATACCTCTTCTTGTTGATGATGGCGTTATCTTCCTCGGACAACTTTTGATTCTTTTTCCTAGCTAGAGGTAAGGCATAGTGAGCCTCGTACCATTGACGGAAAGGAGCGGCATCGATAGTGATAACGGTTCCCTTTACGAGCGTTTTGGTTCGGACAAGCTCGTTATTTGTAGAGTTGTAGATGGTGTCGATGATACGGGTCTTGCGGGTAGTTTCTGAAAAGTAGACTACGGTTTTGCGGGTAGTTTCTGAAAAGTAGACTAATTTAAGATGGACTGATAATTCGGAAATGCTGCATGAGCTGCAGGAAGTACAGTCATGATTCCGAGAGGACGTATGTTCGCAAAATCATCTTGACACAAGGATGGAGCGGTGCAAAAGCGTTCTTAACACTTTGACGACCGCGTGCATACGCGCGTATGCACGCCCTGAGTACACACGTATGCACGAGCATGCTAAACGGTTTTCAGGTGTGGTCGAAGAAATCTAAGATGTTCTTTGGTTCAAGTGGACTGGCGGCTGGAAGGCGGAGCTCCGTGACCTAATTGAGGCTAGAGAATGATCAGAGAGCATTCCCACGAGAGAGACACAGACTGCGTCGCGGGCACCAGTCGCCTTCCATCCGCAAGTCTCCAAACAAAAGTCAACGTTACAGTAATATACTGGTTGCCTGATTCTCAAGAACACACCACAAACGGCTATTCAGGAGTTGCGACAGGCAATCGCATTTTCTTGGTTTCAATCTCTGCTTGACTGTTCTTCTGCTTAGGTATGATACTTAGACACTAGAAGTGACTGAGCGAGCGTTAAGGGATCGTTCAGACCGCGCCTGTACCCGCCCAAATACGCCCGAATACGTCCAAATACGTCCAAATACGCCCAAATACGTCCGAATACGTCCGAATACGTCCAAATACGTCCGAATACGTCCAAATACGTCCGAATACGCCCAAACCCGCCCGAACGCCGAAACTGCCAATGCGCAGCAAATTGCATGCAAATTGGCATATTGGAGCACGCGTGGAATACTGCGTGCGTGGTGCATATATGGTAGCCACACGTAGCTCGACGTTACATACCGATTTTCATATGCGACTAGCGGGATTACAAAGATCAATCGACTTTGCGTCTGTTTTTATTTCTTCTCATGTTTGCTGACTCTAGGTGAGTTCTAACTTTCGTGCTATGCGTTTTCTTTTCTTTTGAGCATGACGATCTTGTTGAGGTAATGCTTTGTTCTGTCTATGAGTCATTTCTTTCCATATTGATCTGGTGCAATAAAAAGGCCCGGTCTTTGCTCAAAAGCGCCCAAATTTTTCTTTCTCTGGAGGAGAGATAGGAGTGAAGAGAGATTCAAAAAACTTGAGCGCTTTCGGGCGCTTTTGAGCGAAGTCTGGCCGTGGCCGAAGAGGTATTCTAGTCATCTTTACGCGTTAGGCATACTGTCCCTGTAAAGTATAAACAAAAAGTTGACAACGCACGTACTTAGAAAACAGACAAAGAAAATGTGCATATTCTACTCATTCCAGATCAATATGGAAAGAAATGACTCATAGACAGAACAAAGCATTACCTCAACAAGATCGTCATGCTCAAAAGAAAAGAAAACGCACAGCACGAAAGTCAGAACTCACCTAGAGTCAGCAAACATGAGAAGAAATAAAAACAGACGCAAAGTCGATTGATCTTTGTAATCCCGCTAGTCGCATATGAAAATCGGTATGTGACGTCGAGCTACGTGTGGCTACCATATATGCACCACGCACGCAGTATTCCACGCGTGCTCCAATATGCCAATTTGCATGCAATTTGCTGCGCATTGGCAGTTTCGGCGTTCGGGCGGGTTTGGGCGTATTCGGACGTATTTGGACGTATTCGGACGTATTTGGACGTATTCGGACGTATTTGGGCGTATTTGGACGTATTCGGGCGTATTTGGGCGGGTACAGGCGCGGTCTGAACGATCCCTAAGGAGATGTCTTTTTGTGTGAGGGTGATATACTCCTGTAAGCGCAAAGATCGCAGTCAAATCCGTCGTCACGATTTTATAAATGAATCCTAATCAATGCTAGTCATTTTTTCTAAAAAAGGCAAAAACACTGTATAGCTGTTCTGAGGGCAATCAAATATGAACTCAGGCAGGAAAAACATCCAATATCATAGCTCCCCTTGAGAAATACCCAAGGCATAGCCGTTGCACGGTTTGTTGGAGGGAAAAGCGATGCGAATCGATTTTGTGTACACCCTGGTGTTGAGACCAAAAAGACTTCCACATGCTAATTTCGTACATACGCACCTATGCACGCGCCAAATGCGCGAGAAACCTTGTGGTAGTTTCGTCCACAATAGCTCGGTCATCAATGCCTTGGAGGAACATGTAATCTAATAATTCACAAGTTTGATACCCGCCGTACTTGATCCTCTTGATCCGCTTCGTGCAAAACGCGCGCACACAGCAGTTTGTCATTTGCCCCGCGTAAGTGAAAAGAAATTTTGTATAGTTACGGCAAATCCGCTGTACGCGACGCTAAATGAAAAATTAGTGACGCGTGCTTTGCACGAAACAGATCAAGCAGATCAAGCGGATCAAGTATGGCAGGCAGCCTTCATCTTGCAAGTGACTTGCGAGATAACTTGTAAATTGATTCTTTGACCATTGGCTTTGCGCGCGGCTACAAGTAATGGAAGATATCATAAATTATCGAAAGTTTTGATGGAATGAAAAGAATTGGAACAATATGACAGGGGGACGAGATATCTTCAGGAACCATCGACTTTATCGAATAATGGAAAAGTATGCAGTTTACAGATAGAATACATAGACTTATTAGAGAAAATAAGACGCTCCAGTCGTCAAAAAGATAACTCCATAATACTAACCAATCGAAGAAAGAAGCCTGCTAAGTGAATGGAACTTACGCTCAGTTGCCCATGAGAAATTTCCTGCATCCAAACGGAGTGCACGCATTTTCTTATTTCCACCTCGCACGCGGATGATATGGACCCTCTTTGGACCAATCTGAAACATGCAAGTAATAATAAAAAACTACACCTAATCGACAAAACCAACCTTAGTGTTAGCAGGTTGGCGACCGAGCTCATACTTTCTCTTCTTGTGTGGAATTGGGCGAGTAGCTCCAGTCTTGTAGCGCTTATGATATGAATCGCGCGATATACCCATTCTGCAAACAATTGAAGAAGGAGTTTTACACTGGAATTTGGTATGGAAATAAGAAGACGTGCATTTGTAAATGGCAAAACTGAAATGGCTCAGAAATTTTAGGCTGAGCGCACCATCGATTACTGTAGGATACGCAGTGCTGCTGCGTCACACACCCTAAAATACGCGAGATTCTTCAGTTTTTTCGAAACAAGAAATGTTGAAAGTTTTCTTTTTCGGTTTCGCCATGCGGAGGAGTATGTTGTTTATTCCTTGTAGCCATCAGAATTGCTCTAGGTTTGCATGCAGAGTGAGAAAAGCATCCAATACATGTGGATCCACCGCTTTATACGCTGCAATTAGCGTAACTTAGAAACTTCTCGAGATAGATCTATGGTGTTCTTTCATTCTATAAAATCTTCTGGGAACATGGTCGACGATTCCGTCTGAGTTTCTAATGTCACTCAATGCTCATGCAGATATCGAAGGGTCCTAGAACTAATCACTTCTCGTTGAACAGTTGCCTGTTCTCGAAACGACACTGGTTTACTTTGATACTACAAATGAACTTTGCAAGTTGGGAGTAATTGCTTGAAACTTATGACTTCCTAGATAAAATGAAAGATAATTTGGAAACGAAAATCGATGATTGTTCTTGGATCACCCTTTACTTTATGTCTGAAGGGGGCGGGGGTCATTATTCGTTCATGGTCTATCTCGATTGCAGTGTCCCTTTGCTTGCGGCTATGATGCACAGCGCGAGCGCTCGCGTGCTGAACTGCGGCTTCACACCTCAACCGCTTAGCGATTCGGAGGCATCGGGACTGCGCCACCTCATCTGCTGCACCTTATGGCTGTCTGCGATCAGCAAGGCGTTTACTCTTGTTAATGTTCTCGAAGGACGATGATGATACCAGCTAGGTCTGGCATAGCGTTTTGAAATTTTTTGTTCGATCTTGGGCGATTCTTTTGTTTGCAGAGGATAATTTATACTTGTTCCATTGTTTCGTTCCATCGCCTTTTTTGAGGTCCGTTTGATTCTAAATTCCATATACTCTCAGACATGGAAGAGTTCCATGCGGACACTACAGTCGGGCTGATTGCCTGTTGCCAATGTGGTCTACCCATTCAACCCAATGCGGCCAATATGTGCAGTGGTTGCATACGTTCGAAGGTTGACATCACAGAAGGCATCAGCCGGACATGTAGGGATCGATTTTCTGTTACTCGCTTTCGTCATTTTCCAGTAATGAATTTACAGCCACTATCTACATATGCAAATTCTGCGACCGCTATTTTGTACCGCCCAGCGGTTGGATGCGCGCTGAACCGGAGTCGAGAGAACTTCTATCAATATGTTTGAAGAAGATGAAGCCTCAGCTCCTGAAAGTATGTTTTTTCGTAAATTCATTTTGAAAGGAAGTTTCATCATTTCAGGTTCGATTGACCGACGCATGCTTTGTATGGACGGAGGCTCACTCGAAAAGAATCAAAGTGAAGCTGACAATTCAGAAGGAAGTCTTCAACAATACGATACTCCAGCAAACCTTTATCGTCGAGTTCACCATTCATAACCAGGTAATCATCTTTATCAGCATTCTTTCTGGCATACATTATTTTTCCACATGCGAGATAAAATTTATTTCCTACCATTTTTGTCGGTGCGAGATAAAGCTTATTTTCTTCCATCTTTGTTGGAAGAAAATAAGCTTGTTGGTGAAAACATGAAATTCGGTGAAAATGGTAAATGGCAAGATTCGAAAATAGAGCCTCATGATATACTTGCAGCGAATGTTGAACTTTATATCTCGACGTTCTACTTTACATCCCGGGCAGAAGGGCCCTGAACCAATCCAAAGTTTTAGCGCTTTCTTGAATGATCTGCCGTCTAGATAGCTCGAAGGGGGGAGGGAATAAGAGGGAGCTCAGCTAATGGTTTTGCTGCATAAATTGGGAACTTGCCGGTCTATAGATTTTGCGTGTGGAGGTGTTTACGCAAGTGCAACTCTTTTATTCTGTGATATCTCATTTCATTCATCTCATAGGGTCACCCTATATCTAATAACAGATTTTTTTCTGGAGGGTGTGCGCGACATGAAGGAAGGGAGGTGGCGTAAGCCAAGCTCTCCGGAAAATTTTCTGAGTTCAACTTTTGCAGGTGTGCAACTTCAAAAACTGAGTGATGGGCGTGCGGCTGTAGCCGCGTTTTCAGAAAATCTCCACCCTAGTTTTGATAGAAATTTTGAGTAATCTATCATTTACAAGTGACAGCAGTACACTTGCGCAGTGGCGGTCCCAGAATTTCGGACCGGGGGGGGGGACGCAACAAAATTTTTTTTCAAGTGAACGTGCGTGGCGTCAGCCACGCACTCCGAAAAATTTTTTGGGGTGCCTCTCAAAATTTTTGCGGGTCCCCAACCCCTAAAATCTGGATAAAAGGGGCGTGGCGTCAGCCATGCCCCCGAAAAAAAATTTTTTGTAAGGCTAATTTGAATTTTTAAAAAATTTTAAAAATAATTTTAATTATTTACAAAAATAAACAAGTCGTTTGCACATTTTTATAACCCATATAGGTAATTTTCAAAAATTTCGCGACACATTCTCGGGCGGGGGGGGGCGCCCCGCCACTGCACTTGCGCAGTTCCTTAACTCATGTAGAACACTTTTAGAACTTCACTACGCGGGTGGCGGGGAAACGTCCTTTCTGCTCGGTCCGCGACTAACTCATAATTGTAAACGTACTTGTACCATTCTAGATGTGTGATGATTGTCGACGTGCGGAAGCAAAAGACTTTTGGCGAGCATGTGTACAAGTTAGGCAGAAAGCACAATTCAAGAAAACTCTATTCTATCTTGAGCAACTGCTCCTCAAGCACGGGGTGAGGTTTCCAAAGTTTTCGCTCTTCTATGAGTTATTTAGGTTTTTTCTAGGCTCACAATCAGTGTACTGGTGTGAAACCAGTGCCTACTGGTATCGATTTCTTCTTTGCCAAATTACAGGAAGCGCGAAAATTTGTTGACTTTTTGAATACTGTGTTGCCTTGTAAATATCATTACGCTCAGGTACATATCAAATACTTTTTGATCTCTACGCATCTTTTGATTATTTTGCAGGAATTAGTCTCTCATGATACTAAAAACAACACCTACGATTATAAGCATACGTTCTGCGTTGAAATAGTGCCTATATGCAGGTTTGTTGCCTTAGCCTATTCTCACTCATTCCTTTCCTTGTATTTATTAGTTTCAAGAGACAACATCGTCTGTATGCCGAAGAAAGTAGCTCAGCAGCTGGGTAATATGAGTCAGATCGCAATCTGTCTTCGGGTTTCCAATGTGATCACTCTTATCGATCCAAACAACCTTCAGATGGCTGACATACAAGCGTAAGCTCAAAATTGTTTACGTTTCTGCAGACCAATTCACTCGTTTTTGTTTGTAGTACAACATTTTGGCGGGAACCATTTGAGTCCCTGTGTTCACCAAAACAACTCTCCGAATTCTATGTCCTTGATGTCGAAACGGTTGATAACTTCGAGAGAAAGGTTGTGTTTCTACTTCTCACAAAGTACAATCGAGAATGCGTTCCATTACAGGCTGGTCATGGATATGTCAGTAAGAAGCACGTGTTAGCAGATGTTTGGCTCGTGCGAAGTCATCAGGTAAATTGTAGATGAATTACTTCGTGTAGAAATTATCATTTACCACTTTCCCATACTTTACATTTGTTTTGGGTGGGTATGTCTGACGCTCAAACACTTTCGACGAGGACCCATCTTGGGCATCTTTTGAATCCCGGAGACTTAGTTCTAGGTAATTTTTGTTTTACATCACCTTTGTGTTAGTTTATTATTTGTTTTCAGCCTTCGATATTCGGAACTCTAACGTCAACAACAGCGTCTTTGATGAAATGAAGCCTGAGGACATTCCTGATGTGGTCATCGTCAAAAAAGTAAGTCTTAGTAATTTCAGACTTTTTGCATATTGCTAATCTCGAAGGTTGTGTCGAATCTCTTCATACATACCTTTCTCTCATCGTAGAGCTTTGTAATTTAGCAACTCCATGTCACAATATTTCTCAGGTTTATGATCGTGCTAAGAGGGCAGCTCGCCGCCAGTGGAAGCTCAAGCGACTGGTTGTAGATGGCAACATCGTGGGTAATGAAACTGAAAGTGTTGCAGATGAGTTCCAAAGGTAACTGCTAGCTCTCTTTGGTTGATTTGAATTAGTGAAGCGCAATTACTACCTTCTCGAGTGTTCGACTTGTAAATTCATTGTTAAGGTTTATGGAGGATGTAGAAGAAGATCCTGCTTTGCGAGAAAAGATTAACATCTATAAGGTAATGCAAATACTTCCTATACTTTCGGTAAAATAAACCGCTTATTTTGAGGATGAGGAGAAGCTCAAGCAACCTGTTGATGAAGACGATGAAGCCATACCGGATGCCCCAACTTTAGCTGAAATGTTGGATGAACTTACATTCGAAGATGCCGAAATGCAAGACGCTGCCAGTACTTCACAGGAAGAGTCTATGGATAAGTAACCCTATCAAACCATGCAGAGTTCTATACTGACCATTGTTTCCTGGCCTGCATTGGCCTCTGTACAGTGCTGTTGTTTTGTTTTGTTGAGATATTGTTATGTTTAATAAGCTTGTCGATTAGTTTCCTCAGTGAAATAAATTCCTCCATTTTCTAGGCAGTTTGTATGGTGAAGGTTATGCACCTTTCATTTACCTTTGGCTCGTTTATTTTCGTCATTCTGCTTGGATGAGATAAAGTATAGACTCAAAGGAAGGTATGAGGGGGTGACCATATAAGGCACAACTGAATGTATAGTGCGGGCCCCTAGTCTCGCTTGCAACTACGCGTTCCAAAATAATAATAGTTCCAAAGCTGCGTCGCGCTAGCATCGCCGATGATTCATTCGCCTTCGCCTGGGACTAGACCTTGGCTATATTCGTATTTGTGCGTAGATTGTTTGCACCGACAGTACCAAACTGTTCATGGTTCCAGTCAGGGTTTTCTTGAACATGCATGTTATGACATGTCTTGTACCTTCAGAGTTATGTGCTGAGGATAATTGAAAAGGCACATATTCTTGAGTGAAAACCGATCCTAGCAATTAGAGCGAATGGAGGTGCGCTGTGAGCAATGCTTCGTTGTGCAGGAGGCTATGTACCAGTCGCCCGTGTTTTGGCAGTCCGACCCTGTGCCAGCGCCATTCCAGCGCCGTGCTGACACCCACGTAAACCCACTTTCTAGACTAATCGACCTTTGCCTCAATTTCGTCGGCGTTCGCCTCTCCATGGAGCGGCACTGGCATGGGCAACGTTGGCCGGAACCGCAGCCGGAAGAGTAGGTGGAGGGAGACGGGCAAGAGGCGCCATTTCTCCGGCTGTCAACTCAAAATTTCAGTTTATTGTTACGCGAGTCTTCAAAAATATCAAATGAAATGCATTAGCTTACTGTCTGTCTATACCATTTGCAGAATTTGGGGGCTTTTACTGGAAAACGGACCGAAATATTTACGAATTTGTTCTTAGCTGCATTTTCACGGGTTTTTGAGATTCGAAATTGCTCTTTTGAGTTGAGTCCAAGCTAGCAAAATCGAGCAACCCATGCAACTTCTAAATATATCTCCTTCTAAAATTTCAAGGCTTTTAGAATGTTATAAAACACTTATATGTGTTTTTTGGTGTCCATCTGGTCGCGCCTCTTGACTTACATTTCTTAATTGGAGTATCGTCGATTCGTTGACTGCACGGAGTGCTCAAACGCTGCGGACCATGCGCGGGTGAATTGTACAGTAAGTTTCGACCCGCTTTAGGCGGAAATTGGATTGGCGGGCGTTCGCCTCGCAACGGTTCGCGCCGTTTCGCAGCTACAGTATATCGTATCGCGCTGAGAACCCAAGTCTGCGTCTCTTCATTCTCCTTGGTCTTTGCTTGGCAAAATGCCAGCGCCATGCGCTCGCGAAGCTTCCAGCAATGCGCGCGCGCTGCTCCACGTAGATTGTTTCGCCTAATCTGGGGTGAAATCGACTGTACGATGGCGAATTCGGACTGCAGGGGATGGGGCATGCATTCTACCTCGTGGCGCGCGCTCCGCCGTGATGTCCGCCCATGCGGTCAACGAAACAAGTATAGATGCTTTCTGATTTGTGTGTTTTACGTGTAGAACACAGTATCTATCGAACTTTATCAAAATAAAACTGAAATGCACGCATTGGTGCATTGTAGATTGGTTTGGAAGGCAGCAGAATAATTATGGCAACCGGCGCTTGGGCGAAATACTCATATCACATCAGGTCATCCCGATATGACTTTTACGGTACTTTGGCAGGAGTATTGATATGGCTGTGAGAAAGCCGGCAATTTCGGCACGGAGAGCAGTAGGAAGAGAGAAAATCGAGAGGGACAATCGAAAGGACGTTTATTTCTTCTTGCATCCGCCACTTTTTCCCCATCCTCTGTGAGAGTGTTGAGGGAAGCAGAATCGTCGTTTGTTTGGATTCACAAACCTTTGTGCTTACCAAAGGTAACATTGTCGAAGGCTGGCCAACCGTAGTATCCTATACAATGTGGTTGTTACATAGATGCTATTTTAATTAATTGGGTGACAAAAATGTTTCCTGTGATCTGATGTGTAAGAAGAGCGATGGCGTAGGGACGAGCGGCTGGGCGCTCGAGTTAGATGGAAGAACCACTAGTCTAGCGTAAGTCGTCGTAGCGCTGAGAATAGGATCCTCGTTTCATCAAGCCAAAATCATTCGCTTCAGTCATACTTCTTCGTGTCAATCAAGGTCTTTCTGACTAAGCGAGGTGATAATATCTCATGAAAGCACAGCACAAAGGAAAGAACTGCACTCATATTAGCATCGGGCTAGAACCACCTTTGAAGGGAGTGTTGTTCGGCGAATTTTGGCCTAGCTGTTCGACTTGGCCAAGTGCAATCGAAGGGGGTAATGTATCAAAGTGAAAGGAAAGGGCGTGAAGCAGTCAGCAAGCGAGAAATGTAGATAGGCGGAGTTCGTACCGCATCCTTTCCGTAGCATATTCAGTGACATTTTCTCGTCAGTGCTATATATCTTTGTTTGCAATCGGAATCGGAGAAAACATGCTAGACAGACGTTTGTGATTTTTCTGGTAGAATTTTCGAGAAGTATTTGTGTTTGCTATCTTGCTGCAGCATCAAATAGTCGAAAACCCTAGTGTATGTTTGGCTTCATGCCTCTAAGCTTCTGCTGTCTACACTTGAACGCGTGTCTGCATTCTAGTAAGTTAAAATATTGTGCTTGCTGTGCCGAGATCATATGCTCTTGAACTGATATATGTGTACAGGCCCCCTAAAACCCAATTGCCCACGCGTCGCTTTGAACACCAACGCGCGGCGCGGCTGAAGACGTTTGGTCCCGAAGCGCTACAGGCTTTTTTCGAGCGACAATGAGCGCGCGCCCTTTCCACACATATTTTTTTAAGCTTTTGAAGGGAGCTTTCATCGAGATATACCTTGCATTGACGACAGCAACATGAAAACTAAAGAAAGATTTTTTGGAATATAGTGAGCGCCGACAATCGTTCGCGACGACCGCTCGCTTACGCTGGTGTTCAAGGCACGGCGCGGGCAATTAGGTTTTACGGCGCCTATAGGTGCCAGAGTAAGCGAATATTTTGTTCAGGTTGGGGTCCCGCGCAGAACTGACGTCACTTGGATTGACGCCAGCATGGTGGGTGACGTCCATTCTGCAGGGATCCCAACTTGAACAAAATATCCGCTTACTCTGGCACCTACCATAGCCACGCCTGCAATGCCAGACCCTTCGCTCATAATGCCTGGTGTGGCTATTTGCTCACGTGCAAATTTGATATCCCAATCTTGGCACCGCAAGCGCACAATATCAAGCGGGAAATTTACAGACTGTAGCTTAGGCTGCGTTCATACTGATTTCGTAATCCGGGAACAGTCCCAGCACAACGCTCACTTTGAGCGCTGTGCTGGAACTGTTCTCGAACTTCGGGATCAGTATGAATGCAGCCTAGCCGACAAGGCGCAGAGGGGACAGAAATCGGAGGCTTCGGGAGCGGCCATACTATTCCTGTGGTTCCTGTGATTCATGCAGTTCCTGCGATTCCTGTAGGTCCTGCGGGCCTTGTAACAATGTATATTAACCCATTGACGACGATGTGGACCACCGGTGGCCTACGCGCTTTTTGCTGCCAGGGACGATGTGGACCCCCGGTGGCCCACACCTCTCGCAAAGTCGTATTATTTGCAGGCCTAGTATTTTTTCCACGTATGAATATTTTTTCCAATTTTTTGTATTCTTAGGACCTACAGGCTCTGTCGTTCAAGAAGATGTTAATGGTTGTTTACAAAACAATGTTGCATTTCGTAAATAAGCACGAAACCCTCTCACACTGAAAGTTGTGCAAAATCGCGTCGTCCCACAGCGCCGCCGCGCAAAATTAGGCGTCGTCGTCAATGGGTTAAACAATGTGTTGAAATTAGCAAAGCGCTCTGTAGTGCGGAACCGTCGGAAGGCAGGGAATCGCGGGAATTGCAGGCGTTACAATCGCGGGAATCACATCCTGGATTAGTATGGCCGGTCCCTTCCTGTTTGCCTGGCTACTATGGTTGGAACCGAATATCCGTATTCGAATAATATGCGAAATGTTGGATTGTTCAAGTATTCGAGTAATGAATATTTGAGGTCATTTGTTCGATTTGATAAAGAGCCGTATCGGGATAATCCGTTCATTCTACCAATTGGAAAAATGACTCATTCGAATATTCGAATATTCGAGAAGTTTCGAACAACAGTTGCTCGAATACTCGAATAGTCGGATAATGTATTCGAATATTCGAAAATTGCATTCGAACATACGAATAATATTGCATTTGAACAATCGAATATTAATTTATTCGAATAGTCGAATATTAGAGTTTGGCTAATCGAATCTGAAAGTTCAAATTCTGAGTGTGTCTTTATCCAAATATTCTCGAATAAAATGAAAATTGGAAATCGAAAATATTCGTGCATTCGGAAATTTCTGGAAAATCAATTATTATTGATATTAATTCGTTCAAGGAATGTTTGAAACGAAATTACTCGATATTCATTCATTCGAAAAATTCTCAAAAAGCTTACTCGAGCATTCATTCGATGAAAGTTTTCGTTCGTTACAACTATACTGGCTACTGCCATTAGTTCTTTTGTTTTTCCCTTTGACTGATACAATCTTGGATTCGTCTGAACGGTCTCCACTTTTCTTCGCTGTTGCGTAATAGTCAGCGCTTGGGGACCCACAGATTAGGAGCGTTCGCACGCCTGGCGAGCTCTCGTCAACTTCTGCGCGCTAAAAACATAATTGCATCTGTTTTTACTGTCTCGAAAATCATCTCATGAGCATTCCACTGAATGGTTAACGTCATTGCTTATGATTGCTTACGCTTAAGATCGCTCTCCACTATCCTTCTTCGTTTTCTCAAATGGTTCTACGAAAAACTTTTGTAAGCTTACCTCTCATCAAAATCTCTTCAGCTGCATGCTTAGTGTTTGCGATTATCATTGTTTCTCAGAATCACTGACCTTCGTGAACATAACACAAACATTTATTCTGTGGAAACTTCTAGTTCCCATTTCTTGCAAAAATGTTGGCGCCTATGCACTTGAGTGCACTTTTCTCCTGTTTACTGCTCTCAATTCTGCGTCATTGTTGGAGATAGTGCCTACTTCCATATATGTGCGATGAACAATATTCTGTACCCTTATGAATCTTTAGTCTCAGAACTGTCCTTTTATCAAGGATCTATGAGTGTGATTCCTTTGAGCTCCTTGCTCCCATTTTATTTACCGTAATGACAGCCGCACCAACACCATTGTTAATTGCATCATCATCACGGCTGGTACGATTTTTCGTGTCAGATTTCTTTGCAATGCTTTGATGTGTTCGTTTTACCATTTGCCGTAGGGGCCACCCTATGTAATGAATGAAAAAGTGCTGATCTTTCTGACTTACTCGATCTTGACTTTACTCTCTGCATCAATTATCCGACGCTGTCCTACGAGCTATTCATATTCAAACGTGTAGATTATTTATCTGAAGAATATTTACTTTTGCGCATCTGTAATCTTGTCATGTCGTTTTTTTTGTTTTTGCTCCATCTTCAAACCGCCTTCCTAAATTGAGTCGGATATCTTGTCCAAGGTTAGCTGGTCAGAGGATGTTTAGAGTGATTATAAGCTGAATTACGCAAGCAACATTTTTTTCGATCGCATAGAGTTGAGAAATATGTTATTTTCTTCTTGCAATACAATAGCCTATACAAAATTAATAACAGGGTCTGGCAAAATGGAGCTGCAGAAGAACGCCGACGGCTGGCTGGAGTCACGCTCGTCATCCAACGAAAAATTTCTCATTTACTTCTTCACCCCCACCCCTTCCAAACTCGCAGGCGCCAGCGAATGCAATGTTGTCCAGTCTTAGCCGAGGGATAACTTCTGACGCTAGGCTGTTATAACTTGTTCATCGCCCTATCCGTGTCATCAATCTGCCACTTCGTTGTCGGACATCTTCTTCCGGAACCCGACTTTCGGTTTGCTCACAATGACTAGTTGAAGATTTGAGAAGTTATCCTTGACTAATAACGCTATATTCCCTGTCAGATCATAAATGTTCCCGAAAATATTTGAACTGACCGCCATTAAGCATGGGAAAATCACGGCTACGGTAGAGTCGTCAACCGCACGGACTGGCCGTCGTAGATCGAGCCCGCGCGGCGCGGTTGAAATGTCAAGAGAACACAATGAACAAAGCGTTTGCTTCGGTACTAGCGTTCAGTTGCACGGTGCGTGCTCCCAATCAATGGCCTTGTGGTCAACGACTCGACCGTACGTCTGTTTTCAATCAAAGTCAGACCAAACGCTGGCGCGCAGTCGCAGGCTGCTCTTGCTATTGCTGCATTTGCGAAAGAGGCCGGAGGAAATGAGTAAGGAAGGTGTAGGTGTTGTGGACTCCTATCATATCTTCACGTGGCTCTAAGTTATCAAGTATCATTATACTTGATAACTTAGAGCAGGGAGCATGTTGCCAAATTTGCGCATCATCTTCATTTTGTATAGTTGATTCGTTGACCGCACGGACTGGACATCACTGCGGAGCACACGCCGCAGTGATGTCCAGTCCGTGATGATGATGCGAGGTAAAACGCTTGCCTCAGTACAAAATCGCCATTTTACAGCTCGTGCTTCCGCGACAATTCAGCCGCATCGCGCGCAATCCGCAGCGTTTGAGCAGTCCGTGCGGTCAACGAATTGATTATCACTCTATTATAAAAGAATAGCAACGGAAAAGTGAACTTTTTTGCACCGCCCGTTTTCGTTGCGTGAGCCTGGACACCGTACCCCATTCGCTTTTGAGTTTGATGAAAAAAAAAGGCGATTGACGCGCATAAACTGCAGATGCAACGTGGTCTCCATGGTCTACTAAGGGGTGCGACTCTCAGCTGCCAGACTCCGGTTCGATTCCCCACTCAGGAATTCCATTTTGCCACTAACGCTGGCTCCAAAAAACAGCTGATTTCTCCACAATCACTCTATCTATTATAAAAGAATAGCAACGGAAAAGTGAACTTTTTTTTGCACCGCCCGTTTTCGTTGCGTGAGCCTGGACACCGTACCCCATTCCTTTTTGAGTTTGATGAAAAAAGGCGATTGACGCGCATAAACTTTAATTCTTTTTTCACAAAAATGTCACTTGGCGAGGCAACGGTGGGTATAAGTATAAGTAGAAGAGTCATTCAATTTTGGCTGAAATTGGTCTGGGGATTTTCTGAGTGCTATTCACGAATACCATATTCTTTAGCTGAAATTTGGTCTGGGGATTTTTTGAGGTGCTATTCACGAATACCGTATTCTTTCTGCATTCTGCGGAGGGCTTAGTCCCTGCGGTTTGGCACGAAAGATGAGGGGGACGCCGTGAGCACACTGACTAGAAGTACATTGAAGGAGGAGGAGGATACTACAGTGCTGGCCAAAAGTTTGCAGCCACTCGAGAATTTTGCTATATCTTACTCTGTCTCGCATAGAGCGATTCCAAATTATGACATTACGTGCATTTCACACTACTTAACACTATGTCAAGAAATTCTGCAGTTACATGCACACCGAAGGGGTCTTTGGGGAAAATGGTGAAAACGGCTGAATTGAGGTTGGTCAAAAGTTGCAGCCACTTTCTTCTAAATGTCTTTAAAAAACTTGTCACAACTTGTCACTTTCCAGTATGTGGGCTACAGATGCACCAATAAACCTTGAGATATGCAGTGCAGTCGGCTTTCATCAAACTCCCAAAAAGGGAACTTTACGGAGCAAAGTTGCTTGAGCGGAAATTGACCGCAAAAATTGATCAAATCATGAGGTTGTTGAGAAATCATCGGCTGATCTATGCTCCTATGAAGAGGTTGCACCATCTGGATGTTTGGTGGCGGTTTGCGAATGTGACAGAAAAGGCATTACTTGGCATGTCTCAAAAACTACCATCACCTTAACTCAGATTCGGAGCACCTTTCGGCTCAAATCGGGCTCAGATGTCTGAGAATTTTCTCAAACCTGACTAAAACATTGCTTTGAGAAAGGCGAGCATTGGTCCGGAGCTTGAAGAGTTCTATTGGAAATATGGAGGCGCTACTGTTAGAGAAAAGTTTTTGCGATTATCACACCTAGGAAATGTTTGATTTGCCAAAGGGATTAATCAGCTGTGAAGATTGTGCAAATTTTTTTCTGGCAGTAGCGCCTCCATGTTTTCATTGGAGTTCTCCAAGCTTCGGACCAATGTTCGTCTTTGTGAGTGCAATGTTTTAGTCAGGTTTGAGAACTTCTCAGACCGCTGTGCCCAATTTTTGAGCCGAAAGGTGCTCTGAATCTGAGTTAAGGTGATGGTAGTTTTTGAGACATGCCAAGTAATGCCTTTTCTGTCACATTCGCAAACCGCCACCAAACATCCAGATGGTGCAACCTCTTCATAGGAGCATAGATCAGCCGATGATTTCTCAACAACCTCATGAATTGATCAATTTTTGCGGTCAATTTCACAAGCAACTTCGCTCCGTAAAGTTCCCTTTTTGGGAGTTTGATGAAAACCGACTGCACTGCATATCTCAAGGTTTATTGGTGCATCTGTAGCCCACATACTGGAAAGTGACAAGTTGTGACAAGTTTTTTAAAGACATTTAGAAGAAAGTGGCTGCAAGTTTTGACCAACCTCAATTCAGCCGTTTTCACCATTTTCCCCAAAGACCCCTTCGGTGTGCATGTAACTGCAGAATTTCTTGACATAGTGTCAAGTAGTGTGCAATGCACGTAATGTCATAATTTGGAATCGTTCTATGCGAAACAGAGTAAGATATAGCAAAATTCTGGAGTGGCTGCAAACTTTTGGCCAGCACTGTATGACTTTCTTCAAGCTTTTGAAAAAGGGGGGTTTTGCAGACGGGACAGTTTCTTGATTAACGGATAAAAAGTGGACAACTTCACTATGGAGTTTTAGAGGAAAAACTTAGTGCATTTTGGCTAAGAAATTGGGAAAGGAGAACTGATATTCTAAGGCTAGAGTGATGAGGAGATTAAGCTCTTGTGGAAGACAGTCTTTTCACTGGCGGTCCCCAGCGCTATCCTGATTTTGACTTGTCTCAGCACGTCAGCACGCCGCAAATCTTTCTTCCGCCTGCTTTGCTTAGGCAAAAGCACCGCAGGGTGTTCTGCGCGCGACAGTGGTCCTGTGTGGAAAGCAGTACGGACGCGAATCGTCCACCCTCCTCTAATGCTTTGACGGAAAAAGCTGCTAACGCTTTGAGAAAATTTTACACCGAAAAGAACGTACAATATATCAGCTAAGAAAAGTCACAGAAAAGAGAGCTACTGAAGGATGCTGTACTAGAGAGTCTAGAGAAAAAGCGCGAGCTGTAAGGTGTGCATTTCTATTCTGGAGAATGAGCTTCACTAAACGCGACATCTTTCTTGACTCCAAACATTCTTCTGCAAGCAGTCGTACTTCCGCCATTAAAACTACATGCGCACCATGCCTTCCCAGCAGAACTTTTCAATCAAAACATCACTAGATGAAGTTTATTAGCTTTTACGGCATTGAAAAAGTGTTATGCGACGCTTTGGTGACTAATACAACATTTCTCACACCTGCTAGCCATTGGGCCGTTTTTCATACTGTAGATCTTTTTCAAAAATCAACTGAGGTTGGGTTACTGTACATCTTTTTTAAAAATCAGCTGAGATTGGGTGTGTTTTGTTTCTCATGGTCATTTTCAGATATGGATGGCGACGAAGATGTGCAAGTCGTGTTCGAAAATTGCAACAACCAAACTTGGAAGACGGCTCGAGATAACATCAGAAGCAATTACCGCACGGTCTGTTTTCTCAGCATCTCAACATCTTGTTGTCTAGGATTCTTCTAATAATGTGGTAATTTTTTCTGCTAGATTTCCGTCTAAAGGGCTGAGCATAGATCACGCGATTTCATCGCTTCGCTACTCTACCAACATGACAAATGTACAAGTGCATTGCTTGGGGGAGGTCAAGAGGCGCGATTTTTCTGACTGTCACTAACTTAAAACTCCAGTTTCGGGCTTTGGGAGGGTTCAAAAAGTGCCGGACAAGCTCCATGGCTTACTAGATGTTTGAAGTAACCAGTTGATAAGTTTTGACGACTTCTGCTAGAAAACTGACCGGATTATACAAAACTGCTATTTACTGCATTTTTAAGGGTTCCTGAACTTCAACATTTTTGTTTGGAATCGATTGCAGGATGATGAGATCGAATCCGTGCAATCATCAAAAATGTTTCGTTTGAGATTTCAAGTGATTTTAAAAATTTGTAAAACACTAAATATGTGCTATAAGCTGCCCATTTGGTAATAAGAATGGCGCCTTTTGACGCAAACCCCCTGCTTGTTGATTATCTTGCAATTCGGTTGTGATGGTCAATCGCGATTAGTCGTGTCGGGAAACTATCACATTCGAAATGCAAGATGATCGGCATGCAATAAACTCATTACAGTTGTCTTGTTGGGAGAATCGCGAGGCAAATCGCATAATGTAGGCGCGGCCCTCAAGTGGGAACTTGTCAGTGTTAGTGAGTGTGTCGTCAATTTGCGAGTATCAGAATTTGTCAGATACTAACAGTTATATCGGTTGCAGTCTTTGCCACGCAGCACGTGAAAAGGGTTTTCTTACATTCATTTAAGAGTACTTTCATACCGCGCCAGCAGCCGCCGCGGGCAGCCCATAACAGCCCGTAGCAGCCCACAGCAGCTGCCAGCAGCCCGCAGCCGCCGCTGGTCGCTTTTATCGTAGAAGCGCAAAATCATCAACTTCTTACTACTTTGAGTGCGCCCGCCCACGCTTTCCATCTTCCACACTTCTTTCTTCCTATCGGTGTGCAAATGCACATTCACTTATAGAGTTATTCAAGAGAAGCACCGGCCAAGGATATGATTGAAGCGGAACCATACTCAAAAAATAAATTAATAGCATTCCTGCAGGAACTGGACGCATCCAAAGTCAGAAGAAATTGCACCACGAAAAAACTCTGGCGAAATATGGTTTAACTGCGAGAAGGAAACTAAGCACCAATAGGATAACCAATCTATAGCAGCAAAATACAACAATAGGCTTTTATCACAGAAGCGTAAAACCATCAAATTCTTACTATTTTGATTGCAAACGCCCACGCTTTCCATCTTTCACGCTTTTTCCTTGCTGCTGTCGCGATTCGATCTCATATATCATGCCCAGGGTCAAGCAAGAGGTGTGGCACACGATCGCTGGTTACGACCCCTCCCCCCTCTTATTGCTGTCTCAATAAGACCTCCCCCCCCCCCTTGAAGGCCTTGTCAAACATAACGGGCAACATATCCATAATTAGGGTCACCTAAGTGAAATCGCCATTTTCCAGCATGATCAACTTTGCTTCAAAGGTGAAGTAGCTACTGTTTTGCACTCAAGACAAAATACTACTCCTTCTTTGGGGGTGTATGTCAAGAGGCGCGATTTTTATTGCCAGCTGGACACCAAATAGCACATAATAAGTACAACTTTCTAAAAGTATATGAAATTTAGAAAAAGATACAGTAGATAGTTGCATGGGCTGCTCAACCTTTATACACAGGAAGAAATTCAAAATAACAATTTTCAAAGTCAAAAGCCACGAAAATGCGGTCAAGAACCAATTTGTAGATATTTCAGTCCGTTTTGTAGCAAAAACCATGAAACTCAGCAAGTGGTAACCTTAGACAGGTAGTAAGCCAATGCACTTTATTTGATAATTTTTAGGCACTCGCATAACACTAAACTGGAGTTTTGAGTAGGTGACAGCCGGAGAAATCGCTCCGGCTGTCACCTACTCAAAACTCCGCTCTCTTGACCGTCTCGCCTTCTTTGGCTACTCCAGAAATATCGCTTCAAAAGATCTAATTTTGGAATTAGAAGCCAACTAAAATCTTGTTTTTCTTGTTTTTCGCTTTTAATGGCTATGCTTTCTCCAAATATTACTCAGAGCTAAGAAGACGAATTAGGCTCAAATCACTCCTTGAAAATCTACGAGGTCTAGACTATCGATTCATATAAATAACGTTCGCTAAGAATGTTTTTTGATATAGTTAATGGGGTGTGGCTACCACAGCTTTTTAGGGGTGGCGCCACACCCCATTGACTTAAACAGATCAAATAACTGCGTTATATCATTGTTACTACTCAAGCTTCTCCTTCACATAGCAGTGGGTAGAGGACTATATGTCGCCGAAAAAGGGCGGTCCCTGCGGTCATTTGCGATAAATGCGCGCTCTTGTACATGCGCGGACATGCGTTTCGCAGGGAATCCGCGCGGGACTCTTCCAAATTCGGCACCCATAGCGACATATAGTCCCCCACCCCATGGCAGTGATTTTATATGAAAACGTTTCTTCAGGAGCAAGATATAATCGTTTTTCTTTACCTATGCAAATGTAAAATACTGATAAAATACTGCGAGAATATTGGGATACGGTAACATGCTAAGTCTGCACTACTACGTGAATCGCAAGGAAAGTCGACAAGAATATATATATTCGATAGCCTAAGCCTCGTAATCTACATTAAAGTGATTTGAGCCTGATTGGTCTTCTCCAGCCTGAGATATTGAAAAGGAAAAATGAAACAAACAAGATTCTGGCTTGCTCTCAATTCTTTGTCATTTGAAGTAGGATTCCTATGTGAGCAAAATAGTAGTTCTTTGTATTAAGCGAAAAAAGAAGTAGTTAACTTACATTTGAAACAAAGTAAAATGTTTGAAAACGACCATCTCACTTAGGTGGTCCTGTATCTGGAAACCTCAGAATTCGCTGAAACTTGGACCACAGGGGTTATTTTACTTGCTAATTACAAAACGATGCTCTTATGCTTTATAGATCTTTAGTTATGCTTACTGTATGTATACGATAATGGGTCAAACATCAGTGTGCTAGAATTTTACATGACGGGACTATATGACATTGTTAACGAATATCATGTTATGCGAACAGCGGAAGGTAACGACCCCTCGCCCCTCCTTGATTCCTCAATACGACCTCCCCCAGGTGTAGCATGCTACACCCCACGTTGACCCTAATCATGCCTGTGTCCATGTTGCATCTTGTTGCCTTAGACTGGTTATCCTATTGGTGATCGTTTCCCACTCGCAGTTGAACTATATTTCGCCAAAGTTTCTTCGCGGTGTAATTTCCTCTGACTTTGGATGCGTCTAGTTTTTGCAGGAATGCTATTTATTTTTTAAGTATGGCTCCGCTTCAATCATATCCTTGGCCGGTGCTTATCTTGAATAACTCTGTAGTGGTGAATGTGCAACTGCACATTAGCGGCAATAGAAAGAAAGAAGCGTGGAAGATGGAAAGCGTGGGCGGGCGCACTCAAAGTAGTAAGAAGTTGATGATTTTGCGCTTCTACGATAAAAGCGACCAGCGGCGGCTGCGGGCTGCTGGCAGCTGCTGTGGGCTGCTACGGGCTGTTACGGGCTGCTCGCGGCGGCTGCTGGCGCGGTATGAAAGTACCCTCGAATGTAAGAGAACCCTTTTCACGTGCTGCGTGGCAAAGACTGCAACCGATATAACTGTTAGTATCTGACAAATTCTGATACTCGCAAATTGACTGACACACTCACTAACACTGACAAGTTCCCACTTGAGGGCCGCGCCTACATTATGCGATTTGCCTCGCGATTCTCCCAACAAGACAACTGTAACGAGTTCATCGCATGCCGATTATCTTGCATTTCGAATGTGATAGTTTCCCGACACGACTAATCGCGACTGACCATCTTTCCTGCGCAAAATTGCCATACTATAGTACATGAGAAGAAAAGGTGCTGAGATATCGAAGTAACACAAATTCAATCTTTTCTCACTAAAAGGAAGCTTAAGGCAAGTGTATTAGCACTTAGATGATAATGTCGATGGCAATGAGTCGATGAGTATGCCAATTTTGCGCAGGAAAAAGCCCATAACTCTCTTCGGAATGGTGCGCAGCAGCTAGGAATAGCATGTCTGGAATCAGCGTTTGGAGCTGATTCAGAATATATCAGGATGAACCGAAAGTTCTGTCGCGCCATTTTAAAAAAATCATAACTTCTTTCCGTCGCAACGATTTTGCGCAGTTCAAATTCTGTTTGAAAGCTTAGCATGTAGTTTCCAAAGGTGCCCTGGAGATTTCAACATGCTCGGATTGCAGAGATAAAAATGAAAGAACGAGATCATCCGAACTTTGGAATCTTTAGGCAAAAATTCTAAAAATCTAGAAACTGTGCGACAAAATCCAGAACAGCCACCATCCCAAGTTTTCTTGTATTTTATTGTATTTTATTACTAACTGAGTCAAGTTTCTGCTGGTTGAGCTCTTCTTTCAAAAGTTATGTTTTCTTGAAAAAAAAAAGCCGAAAAATCAATTTCCTTAGAATTATTGAAATCGATTTTTCGGCATTTTTTTTTTCAAAAAATCATAACTTTTAAAGGAAGAGCTCGTTCAGCACAAACTTGACTCATTTAGTATTAAAATATAAGAGAACTTAGGATGATGTCTGTTCTGGATTTTATCGCACAGTTTCTAGATTTTTAGAATTTTGCTTAAAAATTCCGAAGTTCGGATGATCTCGTTCTTTCATTTTTATCTCTGCAACCTGAGCATATTGGAAAGTCCTCAGAAGACTTTTGGAAACTACATGCTTTTTGCTTTTTGATGAAATTTGAACTGCGCAAAATCGTTGTGAGGAAAAGAAGTTACAACTTTTTGAAAATAGTGCGACACTTTCGGTTCAACCTAATCCATGTCTCTTGTCAAAAGGCCGAGATAAGTTAGGTAGTTTTCCTTGTAAGAGTGAGCGCGCGGTCACGCTCGCGACTGGTGACAGCGCTTGGGGTGATAACAACAATATTGCTTTGAGGTGGAGCCAACCTGCGCGACTGCCACCATCGCTTCGAATGCGTCAGCCGCTAAACCTTCACCTTGGTGCTCAGGGTAGGAAAATACCGTTAGATACTCAAATGCCGCTTTCCTAGACTACAGGTTCTGGGCATGATTTGACGTACGCGTTTCCATGCACTGGTGGATTTGTCGGACGAATTCACCAAGGAGTGATATTTTCTTTGTTGAATTGTTTGATAACCCTATGCATGGGTAAGCAAGCAAACAGTGTTAGTAAAAACAGCAAAACACAGCACATAAAATTTTTGAAGCTTTTCCCATAACCATTTTCAGTTAGTTCACTTGCCGTCCTTGTCATTTACAAGTTATCGCCGTTGCTCTCCGTTTTTTGTTAGAATGCCACAGATGACCTTAGTTGGCCTGAATTTTAATCATATGTATTCCTATTTCTGTACCATAATTTTTAATCAGTATTTTGCAGGTAGGACAGTCATCAGGTTTTAAATGCTATTCTTCTGGAAAGACTGGGTGAGATTTGCGCTGTTCGATTTTGGATTATTCTAACATCGAAGTATGTCAGTGACATTTTTCAGCAACGAAAAATCAGAAGAATGGCGTGGAGTAGGTGCCACATCTATTCTCTCTTATCCATCTTGCTCTTCCGCCATGTCAATGACTTCCTCGGTATGTGATTATTTGGAGGGAAGGGGGGGGGGTATGATGTAGCAGTTTTTCGAAAACTTCTTCATCCATGGGTTGGTTAGGACTTCGTCGATTTGAACATTTGTATTAGCAATGGTTAGCATCTCGAAAACGTTGCAACATAATTCCTGAAGTTGTTGTTTTACGTTGAGTGGTAATTTCTCTGCACATGTGTACTTTGTGCTGTTAAGGAATGCAGTTTTGCTACAAGTGGTGCAACACAGATGGACCCACTTGCTACCAAGATTGAGATGATTGACTTACTCAATAGTCATGACGGAGATTCGGATGTTGAAATTCTAGAGGATAGCGATTCTACGGGATCCGGCCAAACTGTGTTTGAGTGTAAACACGAGGTATCATGTCATCATATGAATTTTAATTGAATTGAATAAACTGCGAATGATAGGACGACGATGATGAGCACGATATGCCGATGTCTACAACACCGAAAGACGGTAACGGAAATGAGGAAGAGCCATTGTTTTCTACCAAACAGGAACCCCCAGATATCAGCGAAAAAGAGTCAATTCATCGAGACAACGTGCAGAATCCGACACTCATAAAGCCAAAGGTTTGTAGATTTGAAGTTAGTTTACCAATAATTTTTGCAAGCATATCAGGATGAAACGCCGTTGCCTACTGCATCTGCGATGAACCGCGTTTCTACTTCCAGCATTAGAGCCAAGTATGTCTTCTTTTCAAAAAATAGGGATTATGTGAAGAAAGTAGTTCGACATGTGCGACCTTTTGCGATAGATATAAAGAGACATCCTTTCTATCCATCTACTGTCTCGCTGCCTGAGAGGTCGGATTTGCTAGGGAAGGGAGTTTCTCTAATCTTTGACACGTTCACGATCAAACCATATCTGAAATCTGCCATTTCAGACCGGAGTGTATCTTACAAATTTAAGATTACGACAGGTCGGATGGTTCAAAATCTAGTTTACTAGAGCTCTACCTAGAATCTCTAGGCATGTGCCAAATCCTATGGAAATTCATTGTAAATTCGCGAAGGTAGAACTGTGGAAATGTTGAACGAACAGAGTCGCAGTGGGCAGAGTCAGCAGATGCGACGCAAGCTCAGGCGAGGCGGACGCGCACCTGACAGCTGTTGTAGACGACACTGTTTTGACAGGCTTTATGCGTATACATGGTAGACATAAGCAGAATTTTTTCCAAGAAATAGAACGACAGATATTGCTTGGTTTTTTGGGGAAAGCACATGTCCTTTTGTGCTCTTTCCATCCTTCCTGTGAACCTCTGCAACCGTCAGCATAAATTAATTGTAATAAATGTTTTTTTCTCTTTCATCGAGGGGTTTCCAGCGTAACCAGATCTGCTGCACAGCTGTGGCGCGAAGCATGCCGTTCATCATTGAGCAGCACAGAAGAAGAGAAACCTTTGGATCTTCCAACATTCTCTTCGGTTCGTCTGTCCCTTTTTTCCTACCCCTGCATCATAGGAGAATCTATAACCTTACTTTTTTGCAGACGCCCAGTACAGTGTCCGATTGTAGCAGTTTAGCCAGAGATGTGGTACAACATATGAATATAGATGCACCTCCAGTTGCGCCTCCACCTGGGCCTCCGCCTGGGCCTCGTAAAAGAAAACCGTTTGAAATTCCCATCTCTCCTGTGCATGATGAAGTTTCTTCCTCATCGGACGTGGTCTCAAAACAGGTATGTTATCTTCTCCTTTAAAATCGCACAACTTCGAAGATTCGTAACTATGATTTGCAAATATCAGTCAACGGTGGTCAATGCCTGGGATAGTGCACAGGAGTTGGCAACTGCTTCAAGATGGGCCGAGACTCATGATTTCGGCATTGATGGAGACGAGTTTCTTGAAACCGAAGACGAAGCGCTGGAATCTTCTGGTACTGGTGCGTTCATGTGCTCAACGTTCTTTGGCAACAACTTGCAACTCTTGGTTTTTAGATGGTACAGATTCTGAGATTATTGAAATCATGGAGCCAGCTGGGCCATCTCGTGGGTCTGGTGCACAACCACAGGGCGTTTCTCAGAAGAAGTCTCAAAAGGCGGTCTGCACTTTTTTTTTAGAAATTTTATATATAGGGTGTCCCAAAAGCAAGTACACACTTTTTAATCGTCAATATCTCTCTTCCCAATGGGTCTTTTTTTGCCACTCAAGTACCATTCTGTAGAGGAGGCTTCAGATTAGATTTGCAGTATCGAACGAATCGCCGAACGCTCTTCGTTACTGTAGGATTACGGTAAGAACTTCCAGCATATGGAACCATTGTGAAATATGCCATCTGACAAAATTTTTTTCAAAAAATCTGAAAAATCGTGTACTGGGATTTTCGCGTACGCTGATTCCACTACACAATTTTTTACGAGTTTTTCCAGCTTTTTTGAGGGTGTAATCACAGTTTTTGACAAATACTAGGAATTCGGTAATTACATTTTACCTGGGATAACTTTGGAAAGAAGCATCATAGTAAAGTAGAAATTTCATTTCTAAAATCAGCGGCTTCCACTGCCATAGTATAAGAGCTTTTGGCTTGTTTGGTTTTGTTCCAAGACAGTATATGGCTTCCAATGGCCTAAAATCCTTGTCGAACTTCCCACAGTAAGCCTACAGTAATGAAGAGAGATCGGCGATCCGCTCGATAATGTATATCTAAGTTGGACCTCGCTCTACAGAATGGTACCTGAATGGCCAAAAAAGACCCATTGGGAAGAGAGATATTGACTATTAAAAAGTGTGTACTTACTTCTGGGACACCCTGTATTATGATATAGTGCTTTCCTGCACATTCCTCTTTTTTCAGCTTCATGTGCCCTTACTGAAAAAATTCTATGCTACTAGCAGATTTTAGAATTGTTGAAACAAGCTCTTCTCAGAACTTTAGAAATAGTATCTTCTCATGATTGACTCTTATCTTTACCTTGTCAGTAAGTGTGGCTACATTGACTGCCATCAACAAGTCATTACACCTTTCAGGACAAGGGCACTTCTAAGAAGCCAGCCGACTCAACAGTATCAAAAAATAAAACTCATCGAAAGCGGGTTAGTACACTTTTTCCTCATTGCTTGTCTGATTGGAGTCTAATTTTGCAGAGTAGTTCGTCTAGATCTCCACAGAAAGCAGATACACGCAGAAATGGACATCCTCTGAAGCGATTCGCTGGGGACAAAATGGGTGACAAACGTATGTTTTCCTGATAGCTAGTTTTTGTTAACATTCATCGTTGACCTATGAATGGGTTTCTCTTGTACTTCACTTTTGTGCTTTACATATCGCTTCTGGATAGATTCAGAGCCATTTTCAGCGACAGAACGCCTTGGATTTCTGCGAATTAGCACAGCAGTTGTTTCGGCATCTGAAGCTCCAAGAGCCAGGGACTTACCAAAGTATCCCCCTGTACCGAGACGTTATGACTTTTCTCGGTGGCTCGACGCCGAAGGAGGTAATCATCAGATTATGCTGACGAAATTTTTTGAGAACTTCTTGTAGTGCGTTTTTTTAGATTTAATACTACACAAAATAAAAGACGTGGCTGTTGGCATTGTAAATGCACCCCTGGGGTGCACTTATGATTCTGCTCTGGACACATTTATTTTCACAAGCCAGGATAGTGTGAGTTCACTAATTCCAGTTTTTGTGTTCTTTTTTTTCGGTAGAGCGTCTAAACTGGTTGGAATTTTTGCTAAGTTGCCTTATTCATTTGGGAATATAAATGTTCCTGTTCCAGAAAACAAAGTTTTGCGAATGTCATGCTTTTTAGATGTTTTGTTTACGTGTGTATATTCATTTTCACTTTGATTAACATATATTTGGTAGTTTATACTCCTTTCTCACCTAAGACCTTAACCGCAGTTTTGCTTTGTTATAGATTTTGTTTGCCAGTGCCGAGGGGCAAATATTAAAAGAGTTGACCCTCACTGGTTTTGATCACCCTTGCGCTGTCGCTGTCTTACTTCCCGGCAGTAAGTTACACTACTTATGGTGATGTATATTCCACTCCTTTCGCATTTACAGAGGCCTTGGGCATTCTGGACCGCTCAAATCTATACCTGTACGAGCATCACAAGAGACGGCTGAGCGTACTTGCTACCAGTTTGCGTGCTAGACATCGCGGTAAGCGATATGGGACGTTCGTTTTAAGTTCATGTATCGAAGAAGATCTTGTCTTTATCAACTTATCTGGATTATTTTGTATAGTGCAATTTATTTAAGCTCTTGCGTACACAGCGGCGGGGGACTTCGTAACTGTAAGAAAAGTCAGCGGACAACTAGTTCTGACCGTGTTTGATGCATCTAACTGTGACAATGTTGGTGTAATCTCAATCCAGTGATATAATTGTCTTCACTTGCTTTTTTCAGATAATAGCCAGCCTTCCTTTCCCAAATGCAGATGGGATTCCAGAAGATCAGTTGAGGCAACCATGTTTTGCAGACTGCACAGGCACATACATCTATTTCACAGATTTGCGTGAGTTGCTGAGGATTTGCATTTTCCCACATTCTATGCACTGATTATTACTTTTTATTTTTTTTTTATTTTGCATAAACATATTTTTAGGAGCCAACACGTTGACCTGCATCCAGATGTCAAGAAGAGATCGACTCGAGAAGGTGTACAGTAGAGCTATGCAGCGGATGCCATCACACAGCGATAAAGAAGCTGATGAAAGGTTAATCGCATGTTCTGTATACTGCTTACTACATTGCATCATTTTCGCACATTTTTAAGATTTCTCTACATGAGTGGAATACGCTGTGATGACGCGGGACATCTCCTAGTAGCGGATGCGAAGACCCGTTGCTTGAAGGTGAGAAGGGCTTCCTTTACACGAGTTCAAGTAGAATAGCTGATCTGTTGTTGCAGCTGCTAGCAGCAAGTGGACAACTCATTAAGAAAGCTCGTATCGCGGATGGAAGTAGATTCCCATTTTGTTCGACTTTTGGAGTTTCACCCTCAGGACTGCTCATGGCGTGCGATCGTAATAATAGTCGCATGATACTATATCGGATCGGAGAAGAAAGTAGGCCGTTGGTTATTCAAATAGACTAAAAAAGATGGTGTCTGAAATAAAAATAATGAATTGAATACAATTAGTTTGAGTGGAATAAGTGCGATTATATTGGAAAAGATTCAAAAACAGCCACTGTCTGTTCCAACCCGAAGTGGCCCCTTGACAACGGTTCGCGCCATATTGCGTCTCATACCAGAACAGGACCCGTGGGTCTCTTCATGGTCTTCGATTTCTGACGGGAAATATGCCGGAAATATGCGCTCGCCTCAAAAGTGTGACCCATCGAAAAAGCTCAAAAAGCTCGCATAACGTTGTATAGTGAGTTCAGCATGCTTGAAAACCCTGCCACACAATTTTCGAGATTTTTGGCACTTTGCCACCAAACGGCCTATTTCACAGCGACTCTGTATGGTACAAAATTTGTTACCGCGATTCAACAGTAACGGCGCAAGCTTCTGGCGAAGCTGGTGCGCTCCTCATCGAATGCTTCGGGTCTTTCTCCTCACTGAAGCTGTTTATACGTGTTCTGTTTTTGGGTCGTTATTGTCCCGACTTGAATGCAGGCAAACACTATGAAATAGATTCCTGTGAAGCGTTTTCCAAGCTTCAGATGAAATCCACTTAGAAGTCCTACGGGCCTGTACATTCGATGCTTGGGAAGCTTGCCCAGCATGCATCCTTTGCAAAATTTGTGCAAAATTTGAGAATATGTACCGGAATTAGTTGGTACGATGCTGAGTTTTCGTTTTAGCTACACCCGAAGATGCCTTTTTGACCGACGACTTTTTCGATCGTATGATCGGAACTCATGGCGTTGAAGATGAAGTTCGCCGAGCAAAGGATGCAGCTCATAGATTTAATTAGTTTTCATCAGTTTTCGTTCCTTCTTTTTTCTTTACGGCAGGTTATACGGTGCGATCTTGCCTTATTTTTTTTTAGCTCATAGCGCTACTTATTCCTGCTTGCTAATAGCATGATATTTGAAGTTTTGTATGCACGTTTAATTTTGGAACGTTTTTCTCTTAGAGACCATATGTGTTAGCGGTGCTACTCTCATCAAATATCGAGGTCTCATTTTTATGCAATCTGTATTATTTTTGTTGGATACCAACATTTGTTATGTAGTTCAGTACATTGTTATCACCTCACCAGAAGTGTATTTCTGTTATGCTAGTAAACATAATACACTTGTTGTTCTCAGCCACTTTCACCTTAAAAGGATGGACAATTGGTCGAAGTGGCGTTTCCATACGAAGTGTATAATGTCTTCTGAGCATGGAACGCCGAGTTCAGATATACTTTTGATATCTGCAAAGCACTTCTAGAGGTGAGTTATGGAAATTCTTCATACAAAAATTTGAAAGCGGACTGCAACGAAATCATTTAGAACATACGTGAGCTCAAATGGGGCCATGATTACTATAAGGGCGTTATAGAAAAAAAACCTTCAATCTTATAAACTCATGTTAGTCATTACTCCTTTCAAGCGTCGGAAAGATCTCAACACTATTTTTTCTTGGCCAAATCTTTGAATTCTAACCTCAAAAAATTCCCAGAACTCACCTTCCAGAAGAGCTTTGCAGATTCCGAAAACAGATTTGGAATGAGCGTTCAATGCTCTTTAAGATAGTATGCATCGCATATGGAGACGCCATTTCGACCAAGTATCCTTCCTTTGTTAGAAGCAACACACCCACTTCTCCAGCGGCGTCGCACGCGGCGACGTGAGCGTGTGATACAGATGAGTTGCGCGCAAGCATGTTCTTTTGCTTCTGTATATCTATCATACGCAACGTGATGATAAGGATCAGTACAAATATTTTATACGCTTCAAACCATGCAGGTTTCCTGCACCGTAGATGTAACTCATCTCTTTCTAAAGCGGTCTGCACGCGGCGAAGTGACAGTTGCGCGCAAGCGTCAGTACCTTTGTTTGTCTACCTTTGTTTCAACTGAATTGGCGATGGGGCTTCCTTAGTTATAAAGAATGACCAGAGAGCACGAGCGCGTGAAGAATGCCGCGTGCGTCGCGATCGCGAGCGGCCTTAATTTGGTCACAAAGCCCCTTCTAGCCGCCGATCCAGTTGAATCAAAGGTCAGCTCTGTACAGCGTGTGTTCTGGGATTCTCTTGCAAGCAACATCATGAGGCAGATTATGCTCATTGCAATGTAATTTATATCGTTTCCGCGTGGAAGAGGTCAAGCGAAGTATGTCATCTACAGCATTGGCGCAAATCTGTACATGATGCAGCATGTCCACTGGAGTCCCAATTGAGGCATGTACATTTGAGGACATTCTGGAAACCGCTGTGTTCTCTTCGGGGCATGCTGGAAACCGTTGTGCTTCTTTACTATATAAGAATTCTACCCTCTTATGGGGTATTATGGGGTACATGCGGGCTCGTCTTCTGCCTCTCGTTTAGAAGTGGTACTGGTTAGAAGCTGCTCAAATGGTTTACTTGAGATGGCATCAAGGCCATGTGCGTATGATATGAGCTTCTCTAGATAAGAAGATCGTAAACAGAATGTCTTTACATTCCACTGGAAGAATTATGCGCGCGAATCTGGTCTGAGATTTTAGTGAAATCTTGAGTGGTAATATATAAAATCAATCGTTAAATAGAAAGGCAAGATTAAGAATTCGATTCATAGACAAATAGCCTTCAGCGACGCTCGGCAATAAAACTATCATAGGTTTTTTCCTCTCACAGAGAAAAGTGGAGCAAAGTCAGTAGCATGTTCAGAAGTGTTTTAGAAGTCCCAGGGAGAGTGGAGTCGGCATTCTCAATGATCACATACCAAATATTATGGTTTTATACGAATAAATCAAAGGCAATGGCTCGTGAAAACTGCAACTGCGCGCTTCCTGTCCCTCCTTGGCGTTCTGGATGCGTTTGAAGCAGAGCTGTGGAAAAGTCAGAAAGCGCTTTTTATGGCTTCTCCGGCCTTGGAGATTGCTGTAGAGGCTGTAGCGGAAATTCCCGCAGCCAAGCCGCGATTGGCTGCCTGGGCCAATCAGCCAATTGCCGCCAAAGTGATTGTTACTGTCTCCTGCAGCCAGCCACTGTTTTTGGCGGGAATCTCCTCTCCAGCCTCCTCAGCAATCTCCAAGGCCGAAAAACGCCATAAAAAGCACTTTTTCACTTCTCAAGCACAGCTCTAGTCTAAACGCATCCAGAAAGCCAAGAAGGAACAGAAAGCGCGCTTTTGCAATTTTCTCGAGCAACTAAGGACTGTCGAAAATGGGAAACTTCTAGAGCTTTCTGATCCGTACCTCTGCAATCTAATACCGTCCTTTTCCTGTTTCCCCTGCTGATCAATTAACAAAACCCCTAAAGCCTTGAAGGTCTGAAGATTCTGGACAATAGCTACTGCTGTGATTTCCTCTCATGTTCAGATCAATTCCGTCTGAGCCTCCATAGAGCAGACGCATTGTCATTGCTAATGCTTACATAAAAGTTGCTATCAGAAACCTTATCACTTCGCTTTTCGTCAACAAAGTTAGAGAACAAGGTGAAGGATTTACTTTGTTTTCGATCAAGTTAATAATGATGAGATAAAAATTGGTGATAGCAACAATAACATTAAGGTGTCTTATACTTTTACCGTTTTCATTACAACCGTCGTCTTTTTGTATGTTATCATCATTCAATGTGGCTTGAATAATCATACGACAGAGCAAAGCAAGTTCTGCAAATTGGCTATCGATAGTCTACCCAATTCGTATTCCACGTGAAGTTTTGAGCTGGAATATGATGGCAGTAAAAGCGAACTTAGTCGTAAAAAATCGTATGCCCAAAAAATCGTAAGAATTTTCCGTTTATTTTAGCATACCCTTAACACAACCAACATTCAGTTGTACACTTTTCGTATTTTTTCATGGCTAGAAATAAAGAAAAGTGAATGGACTGAAATGGCAACTCCGCCCTTAGAAGTCCTGAGCTCCTCCCACACACGTGATTGTATAGCTCATACGTGCAGAAGTACGATCATGTATGTGTACACTTTGTAGGTGCCCCAGTTCTCGAGAAATGCTCATTCTAGAACGGTAAAAAATTATGAGACACCCTAATACGTTGTATGAGTATAGACGGGACCGGTTCAGCAGATAAATACTGATAAACTCAACTGCTCCATGATGACAAGATAGCCTAGTCGCTGATGTCAGCCCTAGAATAATTCTGCATTTGAAGGGCTGGAGATAAGAATCTCTTATCACTCGAAAGAGCTTCATAGGCGCTTTAATGCACAACCGGCGATAAAATTCAGCACCACGCCATTGTTGATCTTTGCCTGCAAAACGTTCTCATACGAATTGCTCATGTAATTTTAAACAAGATTTGACTTAAATATTTAGTGACTGTGTTTTCAGCACATGCGTTCACGGCTTTACTGATACATTTTTTGAAAATTCTTGTCTGATTTCTTTTATTCTCTGCATCATCAGTGTCCTATTTTGGTGCGAACGTTCATTTTAGGTTTGGTGTTAGCCATGCTACTCCGAAAAACCACAATATTCTCTACAATACTATTATCTGCTAGTATCACATTATCTGGAGGTAAGGGGTTAAAGGGGAGAGCGAATAGTATATTTGCAATTTAAGTGGCATTAGTTCGCAAGTTCTGAAATCTGCTGAGCCAGTATTCTTCAAGCAGAGCACTTGTAACCTCCAAAATTCATCATCACCAGTGGCGTAACCCTTCCAGTTGGGGAGCAGAAGTATCATAGTACAAAATATTGGCAATACGAAGATCAAGGCTACAACACTTTCTCAACGTTGATGTCTGCACATTGCATATGAAGCAAAAAATTTAGCTTAATGCGTAGAGTTTGTGCGTAATTTGAGAAAAAAACAATTTTTCGAATCTTGGATATAGATTCCTGGTTTTTTTTTTTATCAAAGAGCGGTTATCTAACCGCAGCGTTTCGTTCGCTAGCCCTAGAAAAAAATTAGCTCCCAAAAAACTTCAACTTTCAGATTTCTTGATTTTGAGTTTGGCCGTGGCAAATACCGAAGCTTCATTAGCCAGCTTCAAATCTATAGAAACACATAGCAAATAGTCTACCATTTGTAACTTTGCATGGAAATGCAAATACAATAAAGTTCTTTGGGCGTCATTCTGCAAAAGAAAAATCCTGCTTACAACCGTAGTTTTTAAATAGAAACCTAGACTTCACTCCACTGCTTTTGAAAAGTGTGACGTTTTTCTGGCATCAAGGGGTGCTTTGCTGGAAACGTGCAGTGCTAGTGGGGTTTGCTTGCAATATTAACTTGATTTCCTGCATTTTCATGCGAGATCTAAGCCCTTCTTACTAGGTAAGGACTACTGCTAGTAAGAAATTCTACAGATTTTTTTGTAGCTAGCAAGGGTATGTATATACTAATTTATTACGACTAACTCAAAATTACGAAATTTGCGATGTTACGATCGTTCGATTATTCCTCCGCTGGACAAAATAAAGTTGTAAATAACAGGTAAAGTTGTTGAATTTCTCAAAATTACGCAAGAACTTTTGCACCAATCACCTCTGCCAAAAAACTTGGTCCGTCAGCAGTGCACAATTTTTTGCAGGGAAAGGAAAGAAGGAAAGTCTCAAGGAAAGAAGTCTGATCTTTGATAACTTTTTGAAAACTTTGGTTGTCTTTCAAAAATCGTGTTGTAAGGCTGACTTCATAGAGTTGCAAAGGAAAATGAATATCGCTCTTCATCTTTGCAGGATACGATGGAAACTTCAGCATAGTGACATCCTTATAAAGTAGCTGAAAATTCCCAGAACAACTGACACCATTTGTGGGGGGATGGTAGAAGGGAGGGATCGAGCTGTTCCTTGTAAAGTTGTGATTTTTGAGAAAAAATACCAAAAAATTACTCTCTCAACAAAATTGATTCTCTAGCATTTTTTCCAAAAAATACTTTTCAAAGAAGGGCTCGATCAGCGCTAATTTTGCTCATTTAGAAAGAGGGGATCAAAAATTTGGGTTACTGGCTATTTTGGGTTTTATGGCACAGTTTTGGAAATTGTTGACGGGCTTGCCTCAAAATTCCAAACCTGAACAGATTTTTTTTCAGTTTTACCCCCGCAATCAGAGCTCATTAGAGGGCGTTTGAGGTGTCTTTAGAAAGTGCATGATTTACAGTTTCTAACGAGATTTTTTGTAGGCAAAAATATCAGACAGGAAGAAATTTTTCAAAAATGATGCGATAGAACTTTTAGACAACCTAATAGAAACAGCAAGCCAAGTACAAACTTTGGCATAGGGTTTCTCCGCAGATAAATCTGTCTAGCAACAAGAAACACAAGTCTGATACAATAAGGCCTATTCGGACTTATCTCACAAGGTTTTGAGGTGGATAATATAGTGGAAAAAAAGACTTATCTGTAGGGCGGACTTAACTGAAGACTGACTACTTGTTTCAAAGAGCGGTCTTAATTGCTAGATCGCAGGTCATAATGAAGTTCCACCTCCTTTGCACGTTTTTTTGGGATGTTTGGTTCTCGTTAAATCAGAACCACTTACCAATGCCATGACGATGAGATGCAATCCAATAATCTTCGACTCTGAGTTGAAGTCAGCTAATTTTAAATGTTGTTTTCAACTTATTGCGGTAGCTTTTCCTACAAAAGAGTTGTCATTTTTTGGGATTCTTGTATGTTATGAGCTGCAAATAGCATACTTTTATTGCAAATCTGAGGAGAGAGGATGGGAGCAGAAGTGGGGCACCTAAAATGCAAGCATGACCAACTCGTAATTATTGTTTTTTGGAAGTGTTAATAGGTTGGCTAAGCTCCTACAAAGGCTGCAGACAAATGTTTATCTTGTGTTTAGTGTCCCTGTAAAGAGTATTTCCATGAGAACCAGAGTGTACACACCACTTTTGAGTAGATTATTGCCCCCATGAAAAAAAAAGACGCAAAGAAGTGACAAACACCACTTTTCTCACTGAGCGCAAATATGGGAATATTTAGCATGAGAACAAAGCTTAGAAATTCAAGGAACTGAGCTTTTGGAAAAATAGCCATATTGGGGCGTGAGAGTCCTTTAATGGTGGTGAAAAATTCTGAATAGTTGAAATGTGCTAATAGAAGCCTTGAACTACCTCTCAGAGAATCATAGATAAAAAGCAACATAAGATTCTTTTGTGGAGATTTGCATCAAGTGCAGGGATAGTGCAGTATAGTAGCCAGAAAAGCCAATTTATCATCGAAAGAATACCGACTTACGCCACAAGCTAGATAAGCTATTTACAATAATTTTTACATGCCCTTTTTGCCACTGATGCTTTGAAACAAAATTTTCAGCTGCAAATACATTCGTCTATGAGATACATGGGAGCGTGCTTGGTGTGCCCGAAACTGAAAGGACCATCGCCGCGGTGGAAACGAAATTTAATGCAGATGTAGGTTGGATTTTATTGGCTTAGCGTTGATTATATTGAAAAATCAACTTCCAGGTTCGTTTCGCACTCAATCGAAATAACTTATTGTTGAATGTACACGAGTTGAAGTAAGTTTTCTTGGTATTTAAAAGATAATTTTGAATGATTTATCATCCATTCTATGACTAGGAGACGCGAGACCGCTTGCTGACATTGTCTTAACAAGTTTGAGTTTGTTGTTCCCTGTTTCCAAAGAGTGAATAAATCTGGACGAGAAATAACAAGTATAAACCTGCTAAGTACACAATTAGGCTTGTTTAGACAATGTGTAGCATTTTCGCGTCTCCTAGTCATAGGGTGAATGATACTTTGACTGGTAATGAAAATTAACACCTTATCATTGGCAATTTTTTTGCAAAAAAAGTCCGTTGGAAATTTATTTATGGCTAGTATTTGTAAGCGTATATAGTCCATTAGATTTCACGGTAACAGTGCACATGCATTGCCGACAACACTAAAACGTACAAAATGGCCATAGAGTGCACAATGAGTAATATCACGTTCCATGGACATTTCTCACGCCTAAGTGTTGTTGCTCACGCAGTAATGCCCAAAGCATATACGGCTCCAGAGTTATATAGTGTCTTAGTGTTTTTTTTTACTCAAAAGAGAAAGGAATTGGTTGAATAATTCAAAAGACTTATATTTTGATAATCATACATAACTCAGAAGCAACTTTGGGACCCACAAAGAAAGTGCTATATTTTACGGCTATCTGACTACATCGATTTCGAACAGAGCAGAGTTGATTTCACTGCTTAAGTCAGTGCCTACAATCGCGTTGGCTTATGTTGCTCCAAAAGGTTAGTATGGAACAATTTCAAGACTGCTTAGAGTGTGTTGTAGGTGCCAGCTATGTTTCAGCGTCGTGCTAGCGCCGTGCCTGACTAATCAATAGCGCGTCCGCGCGTCGGCACGGCGCTGGCACGGCACTATCACGGGGCTGACACATGTACCCTTCTTTTGTCATGCAAAAGTCTTTTTTTCGAACAATTGTTAATGGAACAATATATTCTAGTGTCGCTGCCTGAAAGGAACGTCCAAACACTGGTTTCTGCGATACAATGTGAAGCAAATGGGATACCCTTACCAAATAACACATGCAGTTGCCCGCCTTTCACCTCTGGCAACAAATCTGAAACGGTTACGTAAGTCATCTCATTATTTATGGAATTTTCTCGAGTGCTCAAACCTCAATTTGCAGATGTCAAAATTTTGGTATGTGTGATGGAAATCGATGTATTTGTCCACCAGGCTACTACTCAAAATATTGTGAAAATAGTAAGTTATTACAATAGCTTCGTATAACTTTTCCAAAATCTAATTGTAGTGAGAAACGTTCTTCCTAGGATCATTTGTTTTGCAACATCTGTACACTCTGCGTGAGAAGAGGCTAAGCATAATTTTCCTGACTTTTCAGACTTTCTTCCTCCCAGAAATTTCGTAGTCCATAATTGATAGCAGTAATTGTTTTACACGAAATATGGCTCAGTCCTTTTGAATTCTAGAAATTTTGTTTTGTAAGTTTGACATCTTGGACCCGAAAGTACGAGTTTTACGCAGTAAGTCCAAGACTTGTTTACAGCTTTGTCTTTTATCGCTATACAATCAATACTTTTTTTATCACCATGAAGTACGAGAAATTACCTGTCGTAACCTTCCAGGGAAAATCCTTCAGAATTAATATGAAAAACTGTAAGTGACCCCCAAGCAAATCGAACTCGTGAGATCGTAGGTTGTATGCGCAAGTACTATCCTCTTCAAAATATGAAGTAATTTTTGAGCGAGTTCCCAGCAAAATCAAAGAACTAATCATGGGATAGTCCTGGAATAGTACTGAGGTTTGTCATCACTCAATATGTTGTCAAAAGTCAAAGCAACTTTTGATTGAAGAGCTTGGCGGCTGGAAGGCGGGGCTTTGTAACCTAATTGAGCCCGCTGGCGCCCGCGACGCAGTCTGCGTCTCTGTCGCGCGCGTGCTCTCTGATCATTGTATAGCCGTAATTAGGTCACGAAGCCCCGCCTTCGAGCCGCGAAGCCACTTGAATCAATGAGTACCTGTTTCATTTAGCTAAAAATCCTAAAAAATTGTGACGATGGTACAATAAGTGACTAGAGTGTTATAACTTGGAGGAGAATTTCATGTTCATTTTTTAGGAGCATATCGTCCAGCCATCGAGAATAATCTCGACATATCTAAGCGATCGCTAGTGATTGTGTTTTCCTTGTCCTCATCTATGCAGCAGGATTTTGCGAGTTTTCGCGCCAGTTTGGCCAATATGGTCAATGGAATGGAGGGCTCAAGCAATCACATTACTAGCTTCGTATTCTGGGGATTCGTGCTGACAGGTAATTCCATTGAAGTTTCATCTTGATGTGAACCACTGATAAAACAAGAAGGACATCGATGGGGGGGAGGGGGGAGGGATGAAGGAGAGGAGGAGGAGGGGGCAATTCCGTGAGCGCTGGCGAATTTTGAATGGTCAGGGCTCGACACAGTGTGTAAGTAACCTGGATATCGTTTTGGGACAAAAAGCAAAGGGGTATCGTTTTTGAGGCCAAAAAGACAGAAAAATTGTGAAGTTTTTTCTATTCGATATTTGAGGAAGGTTCTTTACGTTTAGGGTTTAGGGTCAAAGGGGACTTCGCGAAAATCCCCAAAAGTCAAGGGACTTCGTTTGCATTTTCGAAAGCCACCTCATGCCGAGCCCTCTGAATGGTCTAGATGAGTCCTAAAATTGCAAACGAATTTTGTCTACTCCTGAGCAAATCAAATAACCTCCTCAAGTTCCATGAACTTCAAATTAGCTAGAGAAATTTACTCCTTTCTCAAAAATTTCTAGACCTATAAATCTGCTTAAAAATCGAATACCTCTCAAAATTTTAGGCTAACAAGGGATGTGTCAAAAGTCGCAGTGGCCTTTTGGTATGAGATACGTATCATCTGAAGCAGCCTGAAACGCTGATTCCAAAACAGTTTTTCCTAGCTGCAGAACGAGTCTGGCTCCGGAATTATGGGCATTTTAATCACCTAATTTTACATTGTTCAAAGTACTCTGGGATCCTGGAAATCGTTCAAGTGCTTGTTTAAGCATTACGCATAACACTGTGGAAAGAGTAGAATTACACAAAGCATTGCTAAATTGGTTCATCTATGTTTGAGCCCAAAATGTATGGACTTTGGTATTTTGGGCTGCCTTAGTATTGTGAATTTTCGGCAAATCATGTCCAATAACTCTCTACCCAGATTCGTTCTGCAGCTAAGAAAGACTGTTTCGGAATCAGCATTTCAAGCTCTTCTAGATGATACCTATCTCATGTCAAAAGGCCACTGCGACTTCTGACACTTCCCTAGTAAGGCCATAATATCTCTTTGAAAAGATAACGATACTTTTCTCTTGTAAAAATTTCTGCCGTACTCCCCTCCCCCCCTTCATCACGCCCTCTCGAAAAAATTCTGGAGTTCTGCTAGCAGTTACAGAGGACATTTATAGTTTTGACTACCCGAAACATTACACGAACTCTATTAATTTGATAAAATTAGTATTAGGTTTGAGTGTAGATCTCTTTGCAGATTCAAACATCCCGACTTATTATGTCGCTCACGGAACACAGGTCTCTGATTTGGACTCAATATTTGATGTCCTAACGTTTTCCGACGCCGCTCCAAATCAACCATTTCTTTCTGCAGTCATTCAAGCTCAGCAGTTGTAAGCATTTTTAGTACGATGAGAGACGATTTCTCAATGTGGAAATCTGCCGATACGATTAATTTCAGTTATGGAGACGCTCGTGCATTCTCTAATCGTGCATTCTCTAACATTCTTGTTTTCACGGATTCCGGAGCATCTGACGCTACAGTTAATAATAATTTGTTTTCTGCAAATACACCAGAGCAACTTTTGATAACGCAAACAAACACATGGCACAATAAGGTGAGTAGCTGCGAAAGAGTTAGGCTCGAAAGGTTCAAAGATTTTTGATTTTGGGTTTTTTACCGTTTTTGGACCTTCTAATTTTGCTCAATGCAAAATCTTTCGAAGTGCCTTACATCTCACCGGTTCAAAAAGTCGCTTTGCCGGATATAGGTAATGTTGGTAGGAGGCGTGGCGCGAACGTACAGACAGCCAATCGCCGCCAGATGGGTGGAAACACCGCCTGACTCGCTTTCATTCAGAAAATCAGTCCTGCCGCTCGCGCCACAGCCTTCAATCGCTTACACCGGGAGAAGTAAAGAGCATTTTCTGAAAAATTGTGATCGCCGCGTTATCCAAAAGTCAAAATGGCTCGATCAAAAATCAGCAATACTCTGCATCCTACAAAATTGTACCCTAACTCATATATCTCATTTTCCTGCCAACAATGAATAGTTTCAGCTGACGTTTATCCTGACACAAAACCCAAAAAAGCCCATGAGTACATCAGCTAACAGTTTTGACGTCTACAGGCGACTAGCTGTAGCCACACATGGTGATTTACTCGTAATAGACAAAAGTGATGTGTCAAATGTAAGTTACATAGAACCTCTCATTTTGAATTAAATATAACACTTTGTCATAGGTAATGGAAAATGTTCTGAACACCTACCACAAAATGGAAAATCTTGTTGTTCGTTACGGATTTAATTGTAATGATATAAAGATAGACTTAACGGGAGATAACGATTCTACGAAGAAACTCCGAGTTCTTCTCACTGTTGACAAAAATGATCGTGAGTCCCGTTAACTTTACATGGCTAATCTGCAGTCAGCGTAGAAAGTTGCTCATATTCCGGCGCTGTGCCAGCGCCGTTCCAGCGCCGTGTCAGCAGTGCTAGCGCCATGCCAAAGCCCTTAGAACACGCACCACATTGCATTTTCCGCCATAGTGCTAGCACGGCCTGGTACGGCTTTGGCACGGATATTTTTGATGCAGGATTAAATTGACGGTCTTCAGGTAACCCTGCAAGGTTTGACGAGCCATACGTTACCGACATGTATCGTAATCAGCTGAAGATCGCCTCATATGGACAATATTACGCGGTACGTTCTAAGTAGTCATTTCATATCCAGGATATGCGATTACACACAGTGCTCACACTGCGCTCGAATAAGAAGCGCTTATACTTAGTCAAGCCGCGTCCATAGTTGTGCGTGTCGGCACCGTGCAGGCGCCGCTCCAGCGTCGTGCCAGCGCCGTGGTGCCGACAGTGGAATGTCGCTGTCCCTTCCAACTCTGGTCACAGCCTCAGAGGATCACTTCTGTGACAAAGAAATTCAGGATTTTACACGCATTGCGAAGGGATGTGCATTCGCAAGTATGAGGCAGTTGCGTACCGAAGGGAGGGGGGGAGGAGCAGGGGGAGGGCGCCGATAATAGGTCGCGAAATTGGAAGTTACACGATGTAAAAACGTGCAAATGACTTATATATACTTGTGAGAAACAATAGTTTCAAAAATTCAAGAAATCCAAATTGCGAAAATTTCGAAATCCAAACTGGTAAAACTTTTTTTTGGGCGTGGCTGCGGCCGCCCCCTTTACCTAAAATTTCTAGGTTATGAACCCGCAAAATTTTTGAAAAGCATTCCAAAAAAACTTTTCGGAGTCGCTAACAGTCGTTAATATCACGCACTCTCATCCTAAAATGTTCCCCCCCCCCTCCGAACGGAAATCCTGGGTACGCCACTGGTATGAGATTATAAAATCAAATTTAATATACATTTACAGCTACTCCAAATTTTTGAGAAGTCCAAACTGGAAATTTTGGTGCTGCTGCGAAATCACGGTAGCATGTGTGCTGTCAACGTAACTCTGTACAAGAAATCCCATGAAATTGTTTCTTCTATTTTTTCGTATATAAATGATTTCTATAAAAAATGGCTGTTACAGTATACCTATCGTACACAATTCGCGGCAAGCCCCTAGTTTCCAGTGATTATCAGCAAGTTATGAGCAGACAATAATAGAGTTTTCTTGATTTTTCTGGATATGTAAATCAAACACTACGGTGAGGAACACATGAGGCTCCAGAGTTGCCCGTTCAAGCGTCGCTCAGCGTCGTGCTAGCGCCGTGCCGGGACTGCCTGCGAGGTACCTACATCTATCAATGCGCCTACGTTTACGTTGGTTCTGACACGGCGCTAGCACGATGCCGCGGTGCCGGCACACGGGAATTCCGGGCTCAACTCCTCAAAGAAACACTGTACTCCTACTAACAGCATAATGCGCGAATTATTCCACAACAGAAGCGTAGTTCCAATTACCACGCTATTCAACTGGCTGGCGGCTAGAAGGCGCGTGACCTAATTAAGGTCGCGCCGGCCCGCGACGCAGTCTGCGTCTCTGCCGTGCGCGGGCTCTCTGATCATTTTCTAGCCTTACTAGGTCATGAAGCCCCGCCTTCCAGCCGCCAAGGCAGTTGAATCAAAGGGTATGTAAGGGTTTGAAAGAACAGATCTGTCTGAATGCATAGAAGAGTCAACCTAAGGTCGCATCCGAGGTTGCACGTCAAGGGCGTCGTGCCGACACCCATGTGAATGCTGCGTATTTTTCGACTGACGTTGCCGGCGCAATTCCGGCGCGACACTGGAACGACGCTGGCACGCTCAACTTTGGATGCAGTCTAATTCATCTCACAATCAGTCAGTAAACGCTGTTTTTTTTCAGTTCTATGAGATTCCCGCCGCCAACGCAGCTGGAAGCATACGAGTTATTTCGCCAACAGCAGGCCTCACTTGCTCTCTTCGAGTATTTTTGAACACAAACAACGCAGTACTGCTTAGTTACATGAATAATCGTCAGATAGACATCGGAAGCCCAATCATGTATCAAGGTAAGGTTTTACATTGGTGCAAAAATAATGTCCATTTCCGAAAAGTTTCACTTTGACCAGCTATAATTGTTCAATATTCATTTTTTTAATGTAGTCAAGCAGTGAACGTTTTGTAACTTAACGCGTACCTGCTCATACTGCCATGCAGCAAGAAACCGAAAGTTTTCTTCTGAAATCCTCCTCTTTGAGAGATTACAGCTTCCTTCCGATTCTGTTCTTAAGGCTGTTGATAAGCTTATTTATAGCTACAAGCCAGTAGTAGATGAAAAAATCTCCACCAGGAGTGCTAAGAGAAGAAGGATTAAACATTCAAAATTGTTCACTTTTTTGGTCCCATTTGTGGTGGGCCTGAAAGTCCCAAAGCATGAAAATTTGCAATTCTTCATGCACTGAACGGCTAAGTTTTTGCGCAAAAAAGTGTAGGCAAAATTTGCTATTTTTGTGCTTGCAGAAATGATCAAACCTTTTATTGCCTTTCTCAGAAAAATCCTTGGCCCATATAATGCTAGCAGCAAGTATCCATTTTTAGGCGTCGATCTCTCAGTCAAAATGTTCTCGAAAAATATAGTAGCATGCAGTGGGTAAACAATATCTATCTCATGTAGTACTAGCTTTCAAAGAAATTCGTTAATTTGAGCTCGAATGTGGCCAAAAAAAATGAAAGCAATGAAATTTCGATTCAAGTGCAGGTGTGTAGAAAGCTAGCGAAATGCTAACAGATGACCTGATTGTGAAGGCTACTGCAGGACGAAGGCGAAAAACACGTCACTGCGGTATTAGGTGAACGGCGTGAACGCGGCGCGCGCGCGCATCTTCACCGTTGTAAATCCTGCGCCATACGCGCTCTGCGGCTAATATGCCGCGTTCGCGGCCGAAGATACTGTGCCTTCGTCGAGCAGCAGCCTATACCTCTGTTAGAAAGTAATCTTTAATTCATCTGGCTTGGCGACTGGAAGAAGGGGCTTTGTGACCCAATTAATGCCGCTCGCGCCCGCTACGCAGTCTGCGTCTCTCCCGCGCGCGTGCTCTCTGATCATTACCTAGCGTTAATTAGGTCATGAAGCCCCGCCTTCTAGCTGCCAAGCCAGTTAAATCAAAGGGTACATAAAGGAATATTTCAAATGATATGCGAAATCTGCACTGAATACGAAGGTTTGATGGAAAGAGTTGTCCGGAAAAGGGCCCATTGCACGAATATTATTTTTTTGCATTAGCCCTATAGAATCTGATTTGGATTTTGTAGGTATTCCCCAGGTAGCGTCTGGTCTTCCACTGGGTTACTCCGGCTTCGATCTTACGCAGATACAACGGCTGGATCCACGCAGCGGTAATCCACTAGCCTCTGCTGTACGAGGCTTTAAACGTGCTGGAGTGGCTACATACGCTTATGAGTTTGATGATCTCCCCAACTGCACAGCCGGACCTTTTGTGTAAGTCACATCTCACGGGTCTAAGCAAATGTAGTTAAACCGTCCGCGGAGGCGCGATTGCGTACTGCGCGTCACTTCACTTTCCTTGTGCACTCTCGCCGCTTTTTTCTCTGCGCCTCTTCCCGTCATGAACTATTTTTGGTGGACGCAACAGCGTTGCATCACGCGCAAAACGCAGACGATTTATAAGAATGATTTTGTGTCACGAGGATCAGAAAACTTCCGCTTATTTGAATAAAATGTAATCTTCTAGTCGTAGGTAGTCAAATATAAATATGACGAAACGCTTTTTGAGATTCTTGCTGGACTTTGTCAAGCAGTATTAATTTTTATCTCTTTGCAATACACCTTCCTTCCATAGAATACATTTCATGGCTACAGTCCATTTTAACTTCGAAATGCATGGGAGTTTAAGATCACATATTCTTGATTGATTTTCAACCTAAAAAGACTGCACGCAATGCACGGCAAATGACGACACTCTTAACATTCAGTAAAATCTTTTCTAGCGTAACAAAGTAACGTATTCAAGTGAATAATACATATCCAATCAAATCAAAAGAGGCAATTAGAACCACTGGATTTGAGCAGGTTCCTACTTACAAGTCGTAAGTAGCGCGCATGGTGTGCAATACGCATATAAAGTCACAAATGACTCGACCATGCAATAACAGATTACGTACTGGAAATAATAGGTTGATTCATAATTGACACCATTTTTTTTAAATTCATCTTCAAAATGCCGTAATTCTTTTCCCAAATCTTTTTTTTTCAAGAGCAAATCTTTGGCTTCACAAACATACTATTGTTTATCTATAGGTATTACGAGAAAGTTTGTAAAACCAGAAAAAAGGCCTCAAATATTTTTTAAAAACCTCTGCTTTGAGAAAGCATAACTTACTCTCAAAGGTAGCACCGAAGCGCAAACTTTGCTCACTGCGCAGCCAATGTTCAAAAGACCCGTAGCGAAAAACTCGAATTTTAGCGGATTTTTTTTATGAGGAGATAACTAAAGTCATCATTTCTAGGTTTTTTTAAAACACCAAAAAAATGTCCTTTTTGAGAATTCTCAAATTTTTACCTTTGAAAAGCTAAAAAGTCCCACCGTTTTTCTATCACTCAATGTGCTATGTCTAATCCTTGTGCACAAAGCAAAATCGCAGCAATTGGTTCTTGCTATAAAATTTTATACGACATTGAAGAGCCACAATGACCGGTCACGTTTGTGGTTAAATTTCTCGTCTCGGAATCTGTAAAATTTTGCTTTAGAGACAATTTTATAGCAGAAAGCTTCGCAACTGAGCATATTTTTTGAAATCAGCTCGATTTATTCTCACGGAATTAGAGCAAAAAGAATAAAGGAAAGAATTTCAAGTTTTAGTCTCTTATATTTGAAAGCGTGGAACTTGGTATCATACAGAGCACTACGAAAAAGCATACACAAGGAACTAGAAGAAACCCTTTTTCAGATAGCATTGAAAGTTTTAGGGAAGAATCAGATTCTTGGTTAAACCAGCATCTGAGAAAAGAGGTGGCAAAAACGTGCTATTTATGGACCAATCTAATCGGTGCGTGATAAATTCAGGCTTATAATAAGGAGTGACAAAAGATCACAAAAATTCTATGCGAGTATGACAAACACGAGGAATAAAAGAAGGGGGAGTAAAAGAGGGGAGGTGGTTGAGATTTCGCAATACGGTGGTGGGAACCAGCCGGAACTGGTTCGAGGCATTGCGAGAGCTCCAGTAGGCGGAGCTTAACTTTTTTTTTATACCCGCCTTGTGGGCAATAACGCTTTTCCTAGCAGAAGACAATAGTTTTTTTTTGCTTTGGTGAATAGGGAAAATTATTTCTGTAGAATAACTTCGTTTTATCAAAATACCTCTGCTAATGCGCTTATTTTTGTAGAGAAAAAATGAAAAAAACCTTGTAATTTTCGTCTGTAACTGGCCTTCCTGCTCTAATGCCGTGTGCTACCATAATCTGGCACTACCCAATCGAATAATCTAACATTGAGCACTGTGCAGTGTCTCTTCTGAGATTCGGGACAGAAGTTTCTTCAAAGACGAACTTCCCTCGCGATATGTCTCTCACACACTTCCTAAGGATTATGGTAACATACCGTTGTGAGCAAAAGGGTCGTGGTGGAGAATACGTGGGAACTAGACTTTTTTGCAATTTTACAGCATTTCATCATGTAATTAGTAAAATAGCAAAATAATAAACAGATACTAAAATATGGATAGTACCCAGTGGCGTACCCAGGATTTCGGCTCGGGGGAGGGGCGCGACAAAAATTTTTTTTCGATGAAGGTGCGTGGCGTCAGCCACGCACTCCGAAAAATTTTTTGGTATGCTTCCTGAAATTTTCGGGGGCTCAGGACCCCGAAATTTCAAAAAAAGGGCGCGGCGTCAGCCACGCCCCCGAAAAAAATTTTTTTATGAGGCTAAATTGAATTTTCAAAAATTTTTAAAAATTATTTCAATTACTTACAAGTATAAATAAGTCTTTTGCACATTTTTATAACTCATGTAAGTAACTTTCAAAAATTTTGCGACCCATTCTCGGGGGGGGGGCGCGCGCCCCCCCCCCCCCCCCGCCCCCCCCTCGGTACGCCACTGATAGCACCCTATTATCAAGTGTAAAAACCGCACCCAGTTTGCTCTAAAGGCGAACACGCCAAAAGACTGGCTGTTACCATGGAGCGCGTTAAGGGAGAGCAATGTGCGAGAAAGCAACCGCTTGGCGAGACACATGCGCAGCGGCACGCCTGGGTCTGCCCGCGATTAGAGCAAACAGGGTGCTGCTTATACACCTGAAAATAGGGTAAAATATATTTCTGTGTATCACTACTTATTATCGTATTGGCGCATTTTGGACGCTACTTATTTAATGTACCATTTTTTGAAATCAAACTTTGTGTATTCCAGACAACAAGTCCAGTTAACTTCAGGAGATGACTTTATCACACGCGTGCTGCCAGGATACTGTGCGTTGCCTGGTAATTTTTTTTTATTCAACTTTTTTCTGTACGGTATGATCCCTTCGATTTGTAGGTCCACATCTGATGCAAAGTCAAACGTTGAAGTCATCCGCCGCCTCTGTAAAAGGTAGTTCAGGTTCTGGTCTACTCTCAATGCGATTCTGTACTGGAACTCCTACCCCTGTGGCTCCCGTTATTCGCGGAACACATGATTTTTTGGCACGCGCCATACTTGATCCACTTGATCCATTTCGCTATTGATTAAATCGGTGGGCTGACCAATGGGTGGATCAAGTGGATCAGGTGAACATTCGCTACAACACTATTGGTCACTTCACTTACATGACCAATAGCAAAGCGGATGAAGTGGATCAAGCATGTTGCATGCCTTTTTCTCCAAAAAGCGAAACATCACTGGTGAAGACGGGAACCAGAGAAATTATAAGAAGACTACGACCTAGACCTAAATGAACCAATTTTTCTACATTTTTTTCTCAGTATAATTTTCACTACTTTCATATTTTGAAAAAGGAAAAAGTTCTTACAAATGCGTAAATTTTTTGAAGATCTATCCAACAGTGGATGTACGCAGATGAATCTGAATGCTATAGTCGACCCAAAACAACACGAATTTAGACAAGTAAGTTTAACAAAGTCGTCGACATACTTTCAATCGATAAATCATTTTGAACTATCATTTTTAGATAGTTTTTGCCATTGAAAATGGCGCTGCAATGCGTATAGCTGCTTCAAATCTCATTCGAATTATCAATTCGACAATTAGCCAGATCAGACAGGCAACGATTGAAAGACAATTTTCGTTGATTTTATTTGATGACAATAGTAAGTTTTATCCGCTTGCAGTGTAACGTTTTTTTCAACTAGCTTGGCGGCCGGAAGGCGGGGCTTTGTGACCCAATTAATTCCGCTAATGCCTGCGACGCAGTCTGCGTCTCTTCCGCGCGCGTACTCTCTGATCATTATCTAGCCTTGATAGGTCACGAAGCCCCGCCTTCCAGTCGCCAAGCCAGTCAAATGAAAGGGTGGTCTGAAGTTGTCGGTCCTTTTGCACATATATGCTACCGCTACTGTAATCTTGTCTCAGATGTCGAACTTTTGACGAGTACACATGATTCCAATGCATTTGTGAATGATTTTAACGATGCAATGTGGCGAGTGGAGAACAATGGCCTTTCACTACCACAAAGTCGATCTCTGGAAGCCATATTTAAGGTATTTTTGCCATTGATTTCTGCTAAGGAATAGTCTCGGAAGAAGGCGTATGGTTTTTATCGCGAAGTGAGGGCTATCGCGGTTATCGTCGCTAGACGGCATGTCACAGAGGCCAACAACCGCTCGGCGCCGTTTTCGCGTGTGCTTATAAGGCATTCGAAAAATCGTGAATATGGCGCGACCGCGTGCGTGTCGCGCGCGGTCGCGCCGGGAAGCGCGGTTCTTTGGCTTCTATCTCTACTTCAATGGCTTTGCTTGAGTATGATGGTATCTAGAGCGACTGAGCCGAAGGTTGAGGTGATATATTTTTGTATGAGTGTTTTATGCTCCTGCGCGCGCAAAGACCGCAGTCAAATCCGTCGTCACGATTTCATGAATGACCTATACTTTATATGGGCATCCACTTTCGCCTGAGAATGTCTTTACCGTATCCCTTATAACGAATTGCCTTGTTTTTTTTTTCAAACAATTTAGGTCCCACAAATTTCTTTACTCTCGCCAACAATACTGTATCTATTTACCGCGACGCCGCCGTCACCATTCAACAGCTATACCAGGTCCCTTCCACGTGATCTGCAGGTGGGCGAGGGTCTAACCCATTTCTCACTAATAAAAAACATTTAGGTAAATCTCTTCATGATCGGTGACGATAGCCAAATATCTGCAAATGCAGATCTCACATATCACCAGCGTGCTTCTGGTGGAAGAAGCATGCCTATCAGTAATGGTGGAGTGCTTAGGGTAAGCATCTTACAAGAAAAGGATGTTTGGTGAACGTGGCCATCCGCAACAGGATATATATCCCTAAATGCGTCATAAACCGCTGATTACAAATCTGCTTTCGCTATGCTAAGCGATTGTCTGAGGAAATTTATGAGTTTTTTCGCGTGATTTTTGCGCATCAAATCATAGTCGGAATCATTGATATTTGAGTTTTTTAAGGATAAACGCATTTGAGACAGATGCATTTATCCTTAGAATGCTATGCTAAACTTCAAATGTT